GAGCGTCGGCCCACAGACCAATGGAGTCGCAGGTTCGATTCTGGTCAAGGGCACGTACCTCAGTTGCAATTTGTCCCCTGCCCTGTTTGGGTCATGCAGGAGGCAACCAGTCGATGTGACTCTATCACATCAATGTTTCTCTCTCCCTCCCTCCCTCCCTCTCTATCTAATGATAAACGGAAAAATATCCTCAGGTGAGGAATAAAGAAAAAAAAAGGGGGGAGGGCTTAGAATGGAGTGGATGAGCCAATTTGCAATATATGCTACAGTATCACATACACAACCAGAGTCCATAGTAAATTTAAGAAAATTATTTACTTGTTCCATTAACATTTAAGCAGAGGATAATGCTCTTGGATCCTTTGCCTTTTAAAATTAGGTTATCAGCTCTGGCCAGTTTTCTCAGTGGTTAGAACGTCAACTCTTGGATCAAAGGGTCTCAGGGTCAATTCCTGGTCAAGGGAAGGTACCTGGATTTTAGGTTTGATCCCCAGCCCTGGTCTCTCTCACATCAATGTTTCTTTCTCTCTCTCCCTCCCTCCCTTCTACTCTATGTAAATATCAATGGAAAAATATCCTTGGGTGAGGATGAACAAAAAAATATTTTAACCAAATAAATAAATAAAATTAGGTTACCAGAATTTATTACCGGTACCACCCACCACTGTCCCATCTTGTAAAAAAACTTGAAATAATTTTTGGATCATATATGGTCTTCGTCTGCATGTTGTCAAATCTTGTTCATCATGCTCTGCAGAGCCAGCTCTGAAAACCCAGCCCCGCAACCCCTTTGCCCTCTGACCTCCTGTCTTCTGCTTTGGGCCTTGTCATACATCAGGCTATCTTTTGACACAACAGTGGCATTTTATCTTGTAAGCAGCTTGAGAGGATCTCTGTCTTAACTTCTTTATACCCCCCTCCTCCCCCCCAGTTCTGGGTGTATATCCAGCTCTTAGTGGTTATTCCTACTTGCTAAAATGCTGTTCAGGGAATCAAATGTTAGAAAGTATTTGCTTTCCAATGTTAAGTGTACTATATATTCATTCTAGAAAATATGAAAACTAAAGTGTAAAGAAAATTAAAATCACTCAGAATTCCATTATTCAGAAATCCCACTTTCTACATTTTTATCCCTTTCCATTCTGTCTTTTTATGCACTCTTTAAATTGCGCTTTTTACAAACAAAATTTCAATCTTAGTAGTTAGTGTTTGCTTTTCCATTTAATATAATTGCAAAGTTTTCCCCGTGTCGTGAAGTAAAAGTACATCCAGATTATATTGTACAAATATTAAAATTATGTCTTAGAACAATGCTTCTCAAATTTGAATGAGCATACAAATCATCTGGGATATTATTAAAATGCAGTTCTGGCTCAGTTGATCCAAGATGGGTCCCAAGATGCTGCTTTGGTAACATCCTCCAGGATGATACCGATACTGCTGGTCTGCAGACCACACTCTGCAGCAAGGGCTTAGAGAGATACATCCCATTAATGATGAACACTGAAATAGTTTCCAGTGCTTGGCTCTTATGTGGTGAAAGACCATCGGTGGAGTGATAAGAATCCTTACACATAATGTAGGAATAATACAAATATCTATCAAGTATATGCTATGTATGCATACAGGCACAAAGATGATTTAAAATCTAATTACTGATCAATGTCAAGAGATACCAGTCTTTTCAAGACTCTGGATGCATATAGACAAAGGGCATTCCATAGTGACAGAAACCAGATCGGTGGTTTCCAGGGAACGAAGGGAAAGGGAAAGAGGGAGGAAACTTTTAGGGATGGTAGATTTGTTCATTATCTTGATGGCGGTAATGTTTTATCTATATGTATATCCTGTTAAAACTTATCAAATTGTATTCTTTAAATAAATGCAGTGTCAATTATACGTCAATAAAGCTTTTTTTGTAAGGGAAAAGGGGGACAAAGGCCACAAAGTGCATTCCAGAAGGCTCGTGTTAATTTACATCCCACCAGCAGTATATGAGTGCCTGCCTCATTAAACCTGTCAGCACTGTAATTCTTAAAGAAAAAAAACCTGCTAATTTCAAAGGCAAAAATATCTTGCATTTACCAGTAGACTGAAATGTTTTTCATGTTGATCAACTCTTTGCTTATTAATCTTTTATGTGTGTTATCAAATTACAGGAGCTCTTTATTTAGATATGTGTTATAAGTATATCACCTATTTTCCCTTTGACTTGTTTACTTCTGTGTGGACTTGATGTAATTATAATGTGAATTGATATTTTAAAGAAGTTCCAGAATCAAAACAAAACTAATATTAATACTGCTCTAAACATGTGTAATCCAATTAAAAAAAAGCTTATTTAAGTAAAAAGATAGAATGAGACCAAAAAATTGAATTCTTCTCTAGTCACCTAATTTCTTTTCCAGGTTTGCTGACTAAGCATAAGACTACATCAGAAGCAGGTCACATACATAATCAAGTAATACTTCTCATATTCACCCTTTTGGCGGTTAACACAGTAAAACAGGTGGTTTCATTCTTTTTAAAATGGAGATACTACTAAGATGTAATGTACTTTGTGATTTTATCAAGAGCAGTTTGGATTTATAAACTCCCAGTTTTTGTTTACTTATTGTCTTATTGTGTGAGAAATGAACCCATAAAATCAAACTGGGTTGTGTGGTTTTAGATTTTTTTGAGTCAACTGAATAAATACCAGAAAAGGAGATTATTTACATATTCTCCTGAAGCAAGGAGTGAATCCTTATTTATATTAATAATCTTGAGAAGACATATTATTATTTAAACTGTTTTCTTGACTCTGAACCTGAGTCTCACAGGATTTTCTTAGACCACAAAGCAATGAAAAATGCTAATGCTACAGTAATACCAGGGGGGGAAATATTTTATAATCTGCCATGCTAGTTGGTAAAAATTCAGGAAAACTACTTTCCCAAAAGTTGGTTACAAGTATTCATAAATTGGTCCGATCCTTCGAATATGAGTCATTATTAGCCATTAGAAGAAACAGACACTTGACGTTTAAAGAATGAATCTTAGTTTCTTTATTAACAGAATACTTTCTTGTTCTGAAGTTTATAATGGTTAAATCATCTGGCTACATAGACAAAACTAGATGATTTCCAGTCTGGAACCGGATTCCAGATTTCCTGAGACACAAGCTGAAGAGCAGTAGAGGGTGAAATGACATGGAAATCAATGATACAGCTGAGACTCCAGAAAAATCTGATTCTTGGGTTAACTTCCTCGTCCATAAAATGAGGGAAGTGGATTAAATGATTGCTAAATTTCCTTTCAGCGCTGGATACACCGCAGGCTGGACACACCGATAAAGCCTGACAGTTGCAGTCACACGGCTGGAGTATTTTTACTGGGGTTCCTCGACGATTTTTCTCAGCAAAGTCTATCAACTCTGGCCCTGCCCTATCTGTTGTAGCGCTGGCAAATAATTTATTCTTACATTAGAGGTAAGGAATCGAGGGGCTTAACAGAATAATAAGAGCAGCTGCACCTCAAAGAGAATTCATTATTAAGATCATGAAGAGAGAATACACGTGACTACTTAGCAGTGCCTGGCATAGAGCAAGGTGTCTAGTACTTGCATGCCAATATTAACAGAATACCATAGATTGGGTGGCTTATAAACAGCACAGATTTATTTCTACAGTTCTGGAGGCTAGGAAATCCAAGATCAAGATTCTGGCAGATTTGGTGTCTGGGGTGAGTCCCCTTCCTAATGCATAGATGGTCATCTCACTGTGTCCTCACATGGCAGAAGCAAAGAGGGAGCTCTCTGAGGTCTTTTAATCCAATTCATGGCTCCACCCTCATGACCTAATCTCCCAAAATTGTACCTCCAAATACCATCACATTGGGGTTAGGTTTCAACATATGAATTCTGGGGGGAAATTAACATTCGGTCTTTTGCGTAGGAGTAAAATAATGCCAACTTATATGGCACTCAGGTTTCACAGGTGAAACTCACTGTATCCCCAGTGAGTCAAATACCAAGGTAGACAGGTGTTCAACAAACTTGAACAACTAGTTCAACAAGAGAATGAACAGCTCGGCTGGTGTGGCTCAGTGGTTGAGTGTCTACCCATGCACCAAGAGGTCGCCAGTTCAATTTCTGGTCAGGGCACATGCCCAGGTTGTGGTCCAAATCCCCAATGGGGGCATACAGGAGGCAGCCAATTGATGTTCTCTCTCATCGATGCTTCTATCTCCCTCTCCCTCTCCTTTCCTCTCTCTCTAAAATCAATAAAGAAAAAACATTTTAAAACTGAATAAACAAAGACTTTACAAAGTAGTGGGGAGGGGAAAGATGAAGAAAGAGAAAGGAATGACCTAAATAATGGCAAGGGTTAAGGGTTTAGCAACCCACAGCCTATCTGTTTTAACAAACTTGGATTCCTTGCCATCCCTGTGTTATCTCATCTGTGTTTCCCTTAGTATGGCCCACAGACCACCACCACCACCTAGAATGTGACAGATGCAGATGCCCGATCCTCTCACCCATGTTTAAGCTGCCACCTCATCCGCTTACAGTCTATAATTTGAGAACCTGGTCCAACTGCTATGTGGCCAGTGCTTGAAATGTGGTCAGTGCCAGAGTTCTCAAACAGCTATAGCAAGACTGTGTAAACGTGCAGATCCAAACACAAGGACTGCCCACACCAACATACCTGCAACCCATCACAACTAGGAAACAGTTTTCAATTCACCAAAGCTATTGAGAAACATAAAACCTACAGGTCATGAATTTGTCAAATATCTGGGCACTAGAGGAAAGAGTTATGGTTGGAAAATGTACCCTTCTGGAATTTTGTCAGCATTTTCTAAAACACCAGAAACAACATTTCTTCTAGTCTTAAAATTAATTTTAACAACTGAAGTAACACTTTTTGTTATAGTGAGCAGTCAACTGAATTCCATTGGCAATTGAACTATAGTCTTTATTAAAGTTATTTTTACAAATTTATATCTGTCTCCTAATATGAAAAGGTTGTTATTTACTTTAATATGTGCTTTGAAAATTAACATCAGCAGTAGGAGGATCTTCAGTTGAATAGATTTGAGACTTCAAAAATGTGACTGCATCCTTCATCTGTAGTTTTTCCATCTCCCAATTATTGACCTTACCAAGGAAATAAAAAAATAATCAGTTTTCAAGAAAATGATAACACATAAAATAAAAGCTAGTTTCTAGTTCAAACATATTAAAGTAACAACATCAAGCCAACTGCTTTTTAAAAACAAACGTTATCTTATAATTACATTTTCAAGGCTGTGTAAGACTGTTCTAGGGTTGAAGAAAGTGCTAAGCTGAAACGTAGGAAAACTTTAAAGGTCCTCTAAAGGGTGCAAAAATTCCTTTCTTGGGATAATCTTCCCTAGAATATATATAATAGCCAATAAAAAAGTCTTAAATAGTAGCCCATTAAGAGAAAGGGCCATCTTAATCTCAGCATCCATGTGTAATCCACTTTTGGATACTTAAGTGCCATAAGGAAGATTAGAATGTTTAGATTTCACAGGGCCAATGAGTGGCATTTAGATAGATCACAACATTAACATAAATATAAATTTATTCATAAAGTTCTTGCTCCATGCATCTGGAGAGTCTGTTCAAGAAAAGCTGTGATGCTCAGAATCAAAATGAAACATAAGAAGGACAAGGAAGAACCGCCGCTTATAACCGTCCAGCTCTCCTGGTGACAGACATCCTGCAACACCCTCACACTGGCCCATGAAAACAAAACTTTAACAAAAAGGATTAAAGTTGACCAAATGTACCATTTATAAAACCCTGGTAAATGACAGTAATCTCGTAAGTAGAAGCCAAATCATGTACCAGAAAACAATAACTAAAAACACTTATTTCGATACTGCTGACAGTCCCTCTAGAATCCCAGTAACCAACTTCAAATACAACATCCTGGCAGAGTGGACATCAATAACTGAAGGACATGTCATCTGTATTTTTTTCTTACCAAGATCACATGAAAACCCATTACTTTCAAATGACGCACTTTCATAGCAAGAAATCCTCTGGGGTGGGTTAAATCCAAACAGTAAGTAGATCTAGGAACACATAATACAGCTACTCTGAAAACAAAAATATACAATATGAGAACGGTTTCTAATGCAATCACCATTTACAATCTTGCTGGATTCCTGTTCTTTGAAGATTTCGAAGTTGAGCTCTCCACTAACCACAGTCCTCACCACTCCCTACTGTCTTCACTTCCTTGTCACTAGGCCTCTATAGATATTCTCGTATATGAAGTCTACTTTAGTAACCAAAAGTGCTTTAGACAAAGTTATCCCTCAATCATCTTTAAGGATGGCTACATTTCTGATAAGGAAAATTTTCAAATATCAAAGCCCCCATTTTACGGTGCTAATCTCTGACCTAAATATAATTATTTACACTACTGTAAGTACTGATATAGATAATACCAAATGGTAAATGTTCTTCTAGTGCGGAGTGCCTCCCAGAAAGAGAGCATTTATAAACCAGAACGGGAGACCAAACACAAAGAAAACACTAGAAGAAAGACAAGACTGTTAAAAAGATAAAATCTGTATGTGTAACAATAATGTGGAATGTATTAATTTGATTTGTTCATTGTTCTTAGCCTTTGGGGAAAAGACATTTGTATCCCTACTGTCTCCTGTTATACTCTGGCTATTATCTGAGATAACAGATAAGAGAAAAAAAATATTTCTACAGGAAGGCTCAGATTCCTCAGTTCTTCTCAGTACTTCAGGCTGAGAGCTACTAAGTTATATTATTACACCAGAACTGTGGAGTACTTGAAAAAGAAAAATGGCCTTTCAACAAGGTCAGAGAGAAAGCCTTTGTTTTGGGGGGAGATGGGCAACATGCAAAGGGAGGACAGCAGGTGAAAAGGATGGGAAACACACCAGATGGATGCAGTACAGGGTAAAAGTTACAGAGCCGCATGTGAAGGAGAGTTCAAATCCTCACACATTTTTTTCTGTACCTCTCTCTACCGTATTTATGAGCATGTCCTATAAAGCAATATGGGATAGAAGTGCCCTGGGGCCAGGATCCACGGCTGACTCGTGCCTGTGTGCCCCACAGGCCCAGCGGAACCTTCCACAAAGGACTGAACATGGGGTGTGCGATCCGATCCGATGCACCTACTTCAAAGGCAGGGCATTCCCTCAGGACGTGGCATTGCCTTTCTCCCAGAGACACCCTATTGTAGTGTGTGAGTCAAGGAAACAATTGAGGATTAACTTCAATATGGTCTGACCCATACATAATATAGCTAAATTAAAAAGCTAGTTTTTTTCTACCTTTATAAAGGTCTTGGTAATAGAGCAAAGTATTTATTGGGTATTTGATTTTTGTAGATGCTTTAATTCTTTATAACTACTATTGCATTATCTTGGCAAAACTGCACTGACAGTTTCAATTACATTAACACTGTTTTCTTGAACTGTTTAGCTTTAAAACTTAATTTTTAAAAATTGCCTATTTCTTTCAATGGCTCAACTCCAGCCCACTGTCTTTAGCCACTGTGCCCACACTTAACACCGGAGTAAATTAGCGGTGAGAAGTCTCTTGGTGCATTACAAGCTCCATACAAATATAAGGTCATAGGCTTGTTACTGCTATTTAACAGGAAGTTTTTGAGAATTAAGATTTAAAATCAGAAAGCTTGGCAAATGAATAGATGTAAGCAACCTTTGAGTATCTGTAGCAGAAGTTACTCCATTCACATCAGAAAGTGGAAGAACATGACTCCTGCTAGAATCCATTCTGATTTCAAAGTCTGAAAGAAAAGAATTTATATTCATTTTTCAAACACTGCTCAAAGTGATTTTCTGTTTCAAAACATACCCTACTACTACCGATAACAATAATGGCAGCAGCTAAAACATACTGAGCTTACCACGTGCCAGACACTGGTCTGGATATCACGTGTGCATCTTGTTTACTCAGCACAGGAGCCCTACGAGATGGGTACTGTTATTACTGCCATTTTACACAACAGGGCAGGGAGGCTGGCAAGTGAGGAGCAGAGCGAGATTCCAAACCCACGTGGTCCAGCTCCAGAGCCAGCTCTGCGCTACACTCAACTGCCACGGTCCACTCCTGGGCTCTTGTCAGAAAGAAAGAAAGAAAAATAAACAAAATAAAATAGATGAAAATCAGCCTGGCTGGTGTGGCTCAGTGTATAGAGCGTCGTCCCGTGGACTGAGAGGTCCTGGTTTGATTCCTGGTCAGCGCACATGCCCAGATTGCAGGCTCGATCCCCAGTAGGGGGTGTGCAGGATATCTCTCTCACATTGATGTTTCTATCTCTCCCTTCCTTTCTAAAAAAAAAAAAAATCAATAAAATGGATGAAAATCACACCGAGTTCCATACCGACATGATAATTATGTGGCAACTGCACATTCGCTGCGAAGTGGCCCTCCCCCAGGAGGCTGTTCAGCACCGCAGCAACCTTTGCATTCGGATACAACCGGGCGGACGGCAGCGGCGGCAGTACTAAGTCTACGGCCTTGTGATAAGGAGCATCGTCAAGTTTTAGACAGGCAGCCAAAACATGAAGCCTGTGAACATTCCTCTCTTTGTCATCTAAAAGAAAAGAGAGAAATATGTACTTAAGAAAAAATATTAATGCCACAATTAAGAAACTGTGTTAATGCACCTGTATTCCTGATGACCCATTTCTTATCAGGAGGAAACTATGTCTCCCTAGTTCCCAGTGGCTAGAATCTAGACTCTAGATCAATGCCCTGTATTTGATAGTGTTTTAAGGTTTAACATATCTTTCAAGGTGAGTTAGTCTAAACTCTTCATGGAAGAGATGAGAACGTGCCCAGGAGTGTTGAGACACCTCACGATTAAAGGCAAAGCTGACACTAGCATCCAGGTCTCCTGGGTTCCAGGCTGTTCCCCACACATTTGATTGCTTGAAAAATCTAAATGTGGTGTTCCTTCTTCTCAATTCAAATTGTAATTTCATAACGTTGTTTTCAGGTTTTAAACTACCCTATTCTCAGACACATGAAATTTTGTACACCTGTCCAGATAGTTCTTTTCCTTGTTCAATATTAAAGACCAAAAGTCAACAATTAATTTGGTTCCTAGAGTAAATAAATTCACTAGTTTGGTAACTATTTGGTTTCTTGATCTAATAGGCGGTGCCTTTGTTACAGGCTACGAGAGACAAAGTGTTTATATGTTTATATTTGCAAGAATTGACTTAATTTGGCTTCATGGGTGACACACAGAGTGAGGAAGTACAAATACCTCTGCTGCTTAAAGCATAAAGAACAAGGTGAACCTCTGTGTAGGTGCAGAGAGTAGAAATAAAAGGAACGATGATGACGCGTTTCTCATTCTTATCTTCTATGTGACCTTGACTTCACCATTACCGGTCCTTTGCTCAGTAGCATCTGTTCTGCACATTCTAACACTGCACTAAAACCCCATTCAGAATCCCAAGGTAGCTAGTAGTATTGCCTTATTTCAGTCACCCTTGTGCACTGACATCCTACCTGACCTCAGCAGCTCACTGATGATGTCCTTTTGGAGAAGCTGATTAATAGCAGCCAAGGGAAAATGGTTCATCAAGCAAAATGAACACACAGCATTCAACAGGTTTTCAGAAGAGATGTGGTGGAGATAACCAGTCAGAGCACTGGCCATAACTTCTAGGAACCTTCAGGGCAACAAAGAAAAGTCAGCTTTCAAATATGAACAGAAGACAAGGTCATGGCAGAGGTGCCACAGAACCAAAGGCTTTAAGGAGTCCAAAGAAAGGAGGTAAGAAAATCAGGCTTGAAATAAGTATTCACATATCTTTCAGATCAGGTGGCTAACTCATAATAAATATATATACTCAGTAAATATTAGCTGTCATTATGTCTAGCACATGGCAAATTGTTTACAGGCTTTAACTCATTTAATTCCTATTAAAACTCTATAGAGTTGACATTATTATTATCCTGACAATGAAGATGAGTATACAGGCTCAGAGAGGTTGAGTAACTTATCCAAGAACACACAACCAGGAAGTAGCAGAGATAGCATCGGAACCCAGGTTGTTAGCCTCCAGAGCTTTTTAACATTATGTTATATTTTTATCATGAGTATGTTCATAAGACCTGGAACACCACTGCAGTTTTATAATCAATTAATATTCTCTAGCTATCAATACTGAGTTAAAAAGAAAAACAACAACCCACAAGCTTAATCCTATCACCCAGTATAACAAAGCAGTTAAGCACAAAGATAGGAAAGATCAAAATCAGGGAAGGTCTCTTGTCCAGATGACACTGCTAATAAATGGCACAGACGCTCTGTGAACCCAGGTCTGTCTGACTCAGGGCACAGGCCATGCATCATTACGTAAGACAAACATGAAGTACGTGCAAAGTACTGTGATAGTGCACAGGACAGAAAGTACACAGATGGCTTTGGGATAAGGAGAATTTCAATTAGTGAAAAAGACAGGAAAAGGAAGATCATGTGAAACTGAGCAAAGAAATGGAGACCCGGGAGTGCACATTATCTGTGCTATAGTAGGTAACTAGTGAGGCTAAAGCAGAGAAAGGCGATGCTTACAGCAGGGGCAAGTCTGCCCTGAAGAAAGTCCTTATTAACAATGAGGCTGAAAGGAAAATGTCTGCGATCAGCTGGGAGGGCCATGGGGAGGAACAGATGGATGAGGAACGGAGTGAGGGAGGAAGGCAGAAGAAGACTAAGTAGGACTGTGGGAGTTACAACGGGCTGGGAACAAAATAACAGGTTCCAGAGACACCAGTGAGGTGGCATTTACTAACTGACTGCTGGCGGAACTTGAAGCATGCAGCAGAAAGGGCAGGCTGCAGACAACGACGTCTGGAGCCTGAGCGGTAAGCACCTCTCCAGACATCTCATCCTGCTCCGATGTTTCAGCAACTCCAAACCGCATGCCGCTCCCTGCGCGAGCTCTGCTGTCTCCTTCCTCCCTGACTTGAGTATGGAGTCTTACTCAGAATGTTCTTTCTGTTTATCTTCCCTCCTATCTACCCATCTTTTAGGATCTGCTCGGGCACCATCTCCTCCAGGCAGCACTACGTGGCATCCACCTCGGCCCTCCACTTTGCCATGCTAGCTTCCTGCTCATCCTCCTCTACGACCACAGGTCCTGTATAAAACCCCATCACTCCAATGGCATGCTATATTTAACTGGGGATGTATGTCTCACTACCAATTACACAGACTCCTTGGGCAAAACGATTATGTCTATTCATTTTGTCCTAAGTACCCAAGTGCTTGGCGCACGTCTTCTGACGACATAAATAAACAAACTTAGATGAGGACAGGAGAAGAATGAGTTGAGAATAATGATCTAAAAACTCACCAAGTTGTACACATTGAGTATGTACAGCTTTTTACATGTTAATCTTACCTCAATAAAGTGGTTTAAAAAATCACTTTGCAGCCCTGGCCAGTTTGGCTCAGCGGTTAGAACGTCAGCCTGCGGTCCGGAGAAACCAGGGTTCGGTTCCCGCTAAGGGCATGTACCTCGGTTGCAGTTTGTCCCCCACCCTGGTTGGTCGTGCGGGTGGCAGCCGCTCGATGTGTCCCTTTCACGTCAATGTTTCTCTCTGTCTCTCTCTTCCTCTCTCCCCATCCCACTCTATCTGAACAAAAAATGGAAAAATGTCCTCAGGTGAGGATAAAAAAAATCACTTTGCATGGTGGTTGGTAAATAGTAAATAATTGAGGGGGGAAATAAGAATGAGCTGACTTCTAGAATTATTGACCATGAAGGACGCCTGTGGGACCTACAGTGACCATATGCAATCCACAGGCGTTCCGGAATTCAGGGACACACAAATGACCAGACATGCACATCTGGTGAACCAAAGGACTGAAATAACAGTTTAAATGTTAAATGCTTTCTCCCTCAGGTTTCAACCCAGGAAGCTACTCTGGATTTAACACACCTCCTTTCCCAGGGGCCATCACATAAATGATTCCTGTACATACAATATGTAGATATACAGTGTGTTAAGCCAAATTTTCTACCACTTTCCTAATTCATCTCTTCTGGTCAACTCACTCCCCAATGTTTCGAGTTACCTGCTCCTAAAAACTTTGCCATTCCAGCCTGAGACGCCATCTTCCTTTCTCCCTCCTCCATCAAGCATCTGTTTGCTACCTATTATTTACTGCCTTCCTCTGGATGAACACCACCTGCCTCTTTAACTGGAATAGAAAGGAGAGGGGACACAAACTTCGTTTTGTTTTTTTACCAGTCTTCAGAACACCAAATTCAAGCAACTGCTCATTCACGGGCATTCAGAAATTCTGACTTACTAACATTGACCTATCAGCTGCACGTTCATTGGTGCCCTCTCTCCAAAGGAGAATCGTTGAGGTGGAAGAGTAAGGGTTTCTCAGTCTCAGCACTGACATGGGGCTGGATAATTCCTTGTGTGGGGCTATCCTGGTTGCTGTAGGATGTTAGCAGCATCCCTGTGCCTCTACCACTAGAGGACAATAGTACTCTCCTCCCTACCCACCTTTCCCTGGCATAAAAACGAATGTCCCCAGATGTTAACAAATGTCCCTGGGAATCAAAATAACCTTACTGAGAACCAGTGGGTTAGATGAATGCAGAGCAGACAAAAGTACAATGTTCAGGACCCCCTCAGCATGATTCTGCTCTTGGTGTGTTTTATTAAATGTCCCAACCTTTATGTGACGACTTAGAGTTACCTTATCTCACCTCTATTTTCAATATAACAATTTTATTGGATGAGGATGTCTCTTGGGATGTCTACAGTCAGCTGAAAAGCTCCCTAGGCACCCAGTGTTAGTTCTTCTAATCCCATGAAATCTGTGGGGCAGTTTGTAAAGTTTTAATTACCACTCAGGTTGACAATATTCATCAAGAGAGTATAGGAGGTACAGGGAAGGCAGCCTCACAAGAAAACCAAGCAAGGGTGCCCCAGCTGGTTTGGCTCAGTGGTTAGAGCATTGGCCTGTGGACCAAAGGGTCGCAGGTTCAATTCCCAGTCAAGTGCACATACCTGGGTTGCAAGTTCAATCCCCAGCCCTGGTTGGGGTCTTGCCGGAGGCAATCAATCGATGTGTCTCTTGCATATCAATGTTTCTCTCTCTCCCTCTCCCTCCTTTCCTTCCACTCTATCTAAAAAACCAATGTAAAAGTATCCTTGGGTGAGGATTAACAAAACAAAGAAAGAAATGAAACCAAATCAGGGGAGCAAAGGAAGGTTGAATTTGGGGGACACTTTTCAACCTTTATTAAATGCCTACTCAGTGGCAGACTCTGTGCTAAGTTCAGAATAACAGGAACCTGGGTCTGACTCTACAGAGTTTTCCAGTTGAGGAGCAGAGACAGGCTGACAGGCTGTATGTCAGGGCTGCACCAGAGACTTGATAAGATGTGACCAGCACAGGGCTCTGCTGGAGACAATAGGGAAGGCGCAGGAAATGCAGCATGAACTAAGTCTCTCAGCACCACGCAGAGCACAGCAGGCAAGTGCTTTTCAGTTGGCCTAGTACCACTTCCTTGATTACCTGCCACAAAGGATGGGCATGTGACCCAAACTCAGTCAATTTGATTTTCTCTTTTAGAAATCTGAATCTTGAGAGGAAACCACGAGGACAGAACGCAGTTGGAGTCAAGACACTAGAGGGCAAAGAGATAGCCACTGAGTGAATCTTGCCATTGAGACTCTCAGAACCGCCAGTTTGCTTCTCCAAGGCCTCTGTGGCCTAGACTCTAATTTTTTTTTTAAATCTAATATGTACTGCGTGCTAGGAATTGTTTTAAAAACCTGATATAGGTTAACTCATTTAATCCTCACAACAACCAGATATGATTAGAAATAACTCTTATTTCTTATCCCCGTTAAACACATGAAGTAACTTGCTAAAAAGTTAAGCAGCTAATGAATGGCAGAGTTGGGATGCAAACTTAAGCAAGATGTCTCCAGAATCTGTGCTTTGAATCACTCTTCTAACAAATGACATCTCACACGCGTTTCCAGTTTTTAATGAACCCTAACTAATCTAGAGAGGAAGGAAAAGATGCTCTGGTGGAAAGTGGAGGTATGCAAGGGGCTGGAATGCTTGAGGAACTGCTGCAATGAATACTAGAAATGCATACTTGAGAGTAAAAATGAAAAGAACAGAAAGCAGTAGTTTGGGACTAAATGATCAGTTAGTTCAAAACTGAACTATGAATTCAGGAGCCGAGGAAATAAGCTGGGTGGGAAAGCTTGAAACGATGACTCCTATTTTATTACATTAAAAATACACCAGAAAGAACAAAGGTATAAGCAAGACAAAGAACAACAAAAATAAAAGTCTGTGTAACTTCATAAACAACGAATACTGTGTTTTATTTCTTGATGTGGATGATGGCCACGAATATATGTACCTGTAATAATTCACTGACCTTATGCTGATTTGTAACCTTTTTGTAAGTATGTTAGGTGGCAATAAAAAAGTAAGAAAAGTACATACTCTCGGGTCTGACCCCTGTAGAGGTGATTCAGAGAAGAATACACATGAAGAATAGAGACAATGCTTTTCATGTTGAGGAAGCCAGGTTCATCTACCACTTTCTTCATAAATAAGTCCATCAAACCAGTGTGTCGAAAGGCAAAGTTTTCAAATAAAATAAGGAGAAAAAGAACCTTAAAAAAAAGGGTAAATTAAGGGAGAATATTTTAATAATTATGGTATGCTAGTAGTAATTTTTTTAGATTGCAAAAAATTTAAACAGCAACAGAACCGTCCTGATCAAGAGAATATTCCCTAAAAAGGAACAATTACCTTTTCCTCACAAAATCTGTTTCAGTAATTTTCGATTCAGGTATTAAGTTAATAAGCAACCTCTTTTTATAAGCAGAAAACCAGAGTATACAATGGTTTTCATTTCATTTAAAAATAAGTCCTATCCTACAGGCTTTTCATACAACAGTCTTGAAAACTACTTTAAATATATACATTTTCTGAAGTTTTTCAAAGTGAGCAACTCAGTTTTGAACTGCTCCCCCTTCCAAACCTAGACAACCATGTAAGAGATATCTCAGAAATTTCTAAATTCAACCTGGATTTCTATAAATAAGAACTTAGATGACATAATATGATTAAATTAAAATTTCCAGTTCACTTCTCATTTCCCTCTTGGCCCTTCTCATGATTAGCACTTCTCTTTCCAAAGTCAATTTCTACGGCGAACTCAATATTTCTTACCCTCCAAACTAAACTGAACCTGCTGATCTAACGGTTACCACTGCTTAACTGCAAAAAAAGTTTCACCGGCTGCCTCACTGATGTTTTTATTACTAACACAGCACCTGAATTTAAAGGCCCCTACTCTGGAGGAAATAAGCAAACATTTCATAAATAGAAAATGGACATGATTATTATAATGACGTTTTAGTCTTCAAAATGCATAAGCCTGTCACATCACCCAGATTTATTATTCTAAATCTAATGAAGAAAAGGAGAAAGTACTAATCCTAATTGTCCAAAGTACCATACAACCTTTTGAATGACAAACATAAGAGCAAACACTGAACAATATAATTTTTATTTCAGATAGAAAAATAGTCAAAAGATTGAGTGGTATATTAACAGGTAACTCCCAGACAGGAATGATAAGGAGCTAAATTTTTCAGAAGTCAGTTTAGTACTGGAGTATTAACTGCTATAAAGCTGAGAGAGAAACACCTAGAATGCTAAATGAATATGTTTCTTGAATTTGTTCCTGAGGCTTACTCTAACCTATTAACATACTTACTTGTTTCAACTTCCAGATGTCAAAAGTTGTAGCCACATAATCTGCTATCCCATTGAAAAGATCTAAATTACGGTATCGAAGGTCTCTGCAAGACTGCATTATGTTGATCAATATTTTTAAAGGACACCCATGGATATTACCTTTAAGAATGAGTTAAATAAATAAATAAAAATTACCAGATAGTTTGTAAGATCCAAGAGACTACACTCAATACGTTTCTTCTTAAAAAAAAACAAAAAAACAAAAACACATAGCACTGTATTTTATTAAAAACAAACTATAGGCAAAAATAAAATTTAGATCTAACTATATCATCAGATATTTTTCATATGTAATAGCAAAGTTCTTAAAACAAATGTAATCCAGAATAGTAGGTCAGATGCTAAAAATAATGAAAGAAAAATTTCCCTTACCTATGACCATCTTACTGCATTCATTCAGGAGTATAATAGAACGGTGATCCATAGCAGCTAGTGCCTCAAACATGTGCTGGCTATTCAAAATAGAAAATCTGTCTAATTCCCTCAAAGCTTTCATCTAAAGAAAAACAAGATTAAATTTATCATTTGTGATAAATCAAACTTTTATTTTAAATAAAAAGGATAAAGTTTGAGCAAAATGACTTAAATAGATATATAGTAAAATATATTTATAGACACAGATAAATATAAATCTACTTCTATTATTTCACTTTTAAAAAGTTAAACAATGTCCTCCTAAAAACTGACTGCAGGAAGTCACAGCAGATCACAAGACATATTTTTTTCAAATCTCATCCACTAGAGAAAATTCAGAAGGTCTTTACCTCCAGTTTCCTTTTAAGAGCAACTGGGGCATCTTTTCCAATACTTCTCATCACAGATTGTAGTGTGAAGACACGTTCTATTTTCCAAACTTGCTGATCAACTAGTATCCTGCAATCAAACACAATAAATATCACAGACCTAGAATCTTAAAACCAGAAGAGAAATCTTAAAAGTCATTTCGTCCAGCTCCTACTTCTAGGCAAGAAATGGGAAGACATGATCTACCCGCCGAAGATGCTGTAAGTAGTTACTGAAAGATCCAGGACCAGTCTAGCACACTCTCCTCTCACATTATTTAGCTCTCTTGATGAATGAACAAATCACATCAGATTATAGTCAGATATCAGATATCCCAATGCACCGTCAATGAAAAAAGGAATTAAGCATTATTCTTACTGGCATATGACATTATATCAGTTGTATCAATTTTATAAATTATAAAATTATAAAATTCAAGTTCCTTTACTAGCCAGGCCAGTGTCATGTAACTTCCAAATAGTGTCCAAATAACCATTATGATTTGAATACCTGCCAATTCTCTCCCAGCCCACATCAGTACTGTTTTAAATTTAGATTTCAATGTTGCTCATACCTTTATTATTGTGGACCCTAAAAGCAGCATTATATCCACCTTTACCTGATCCAGAGTCAGAGTTTTAAGTTTAATAAGGTATTAAAGACTATAATTACCATCAAAATTTCCCCCAAATCAAAAAAACAAAAACAAAAAAGCAATTCAGCTTTCATGTTGGTTTTTCATTTGAGATCTTTTCTTTTTTTTAATCCTCACCTGAGGACATCTTTTCATTTTTTGTTCAGATAGAGTGAAAGGGAGAGAGAGGAAGAGGAGAGAAACATCGACGTGAAAGGGACACATTGAGTGGCTGCTTCCCGCATGCATGACCCAACCAGGGCCAGGGACAAACTGCAACGGAGGTACGCGCCTTTAGCGGGAACTGAACCTGGGTCTCTCTAGACTGAAGGCCGTCACCGCTGAGCCAAACCGGCCAGAGCTCATTTGAGATCTTAAAGAAACAGAGACTGCCACAGGAAGAAAGCATAAGAGAGTTCTCACCGCAATCCTGCTCGAAGAACCTCCACATTCTTGCATGGCTCCATTGCTTCTAAAACAGTTGACAAAACTGAAAGACATTTCTCATCACACTCATTGATACGCTCCTATTAAAATATAATTACAAAACACTACAGATGATGAACCCACAGTAGACTATTGCACCCATGCAAAACTACTAAACTGATGCTTTCAATTAAAGGATTAAATATGAAACATATTATTTATACAAAGTCAGTCTTCAATAAACAGTATCTTTGGGAATTAAAATGCTGCACATAATGAATTTTTCAAATACCCAATATACACTCTTTTATTCATCAAAACTTTTTTACATCCACCATTATCACTGAAAATCCATTATTGATTATATCCTTCTGCTTTTGAAATAACTTTTATCTAACATTATTTTGACCTCTTCTTAGGACTCAAGGCCATCATGAAGACAAGTGTAGTAATAGAAGAGCTACTAGGGGATAGAGGGCAATGTGAGCATCCCTAAAGAACCCTAGATAGCTGTGTCCTTATCATTTCCCTATACCCTTTCCTGGGTATGAAACCTAACTTCAGTTGGTAATCTTCTCCACATCTGTTGTCACATTTGACCTCCATCATCTGGGTGTCAAGGGGAGCCCCAGGCCCCAGATCTTCCTTTCAGGTCCCTTGGGTTAGGTATTAATTTAGACCCCAGAAATGGCAGTGGGCATAATTTGGAAAATGAATAGTAACAACACAGATTACCTGGTGCTCTACTATTTAATCACAACTAGTCTATATACCTCACAAGAAAACATCTGAGGAAACTTAGGCTGAAAGAGGTATGCTCTTTTGCTAAAATTATATGACTAACAAGGCACAGCCTCAAGTCAGAAATGAATAAGAAATGGATACGGATGGAAGAAAAAAAAAGATCTCATTCCCATGGGAGGGTTTCCATAACAATTTACAACATGCCATCAATATTTACTATGAAAAGAAAGACCACCTGATTACGTGTTTAAAGGACAAATTCACTGATGACATACTGTCCTTTTATCTCTAGATAAAGTGTCTTTACAACATTCAAACAGGTCAGTAAGACACATACATACAGATATTCTAATTCCAGATATCCACTGCTCACTGATGCAGATGCTATGCTGATATGAATACCTATCCAAAATCGAGTAAGAGCACCACTGACCAGGTAAAGTGACTTACACTAATCACTTTATACAATATATTTTTTTATTTTTTTCAGATAGAGTGGGAGGGAGAGAGGGAGGAAGAGAGAGAGAGAAACATTGACGTGAGAGACACACCTACTGGTTGCCACCCACATGACCCCAAACAGGGCCGGAGACAAACTGCAACTGAGGTACGTGCTCTTAGTGGGAACTGAACTGGGAACTCTCTGGTCCACGGGCCGACACTCCAACCTCTAAGCCAAACCAGCCAGGGCACTATAATCACTTTAAAATAACCACATAGGGTATACAGTCTACCAAATAAACATGAATATTCTGTGATTTAAAAAAACACACACACAAAATAAAAATCAGTTCTTGGTTGAGGACATATGGAAGTCACAGTAACATAAAAAGTTAACTCTCATATACCTATAAACCCAATTCTTAAATTCTGTAGTAGGTAAGGATATGTGTCAGATCATCCTCAGGAAATTCCTGTCTCTTTAAAAATTATTTAATTGTAATCATTGAGTTTAGAAGTCTGAGCTGTCCACTCTCAAAAGGCAAACGATTACTTTAATAAGCTATCCTTCCCGCATCACATCTGTTGTAGTTTCAGTGACATTAAACAGGACACTGACTCTCTTGTTTGAAACAGAAAGTGGCTCCCCCATCTAATTTTATCCTTCTTCTGATCCATTCTTCACTCATACAGTGATCTAAAATACAAATTTGAGAATGCCAACCCTTCGCTTAAAATACTTCAATGGATCCTCACTGCCTGCAGGATAAATCCAAACTCCTGAGCTAGACATAAGGACTCTTTATGATTCCCCCTTTTTTCTAGCCTCATGTTTCGCCACTCCTCCTAGCCCCTCCTCCATGACCATCACATACACAATTTTCTCTGCACTCCCTCAAACACCCCCCCCCCCCGAATGTTCTATACTTCAGCCATTACCAAACTACTTTCAGCTCCCCTAACTTGCCAAACTTTTGCTCTGGGATGAACATGCAATCTTATCTACTTGAAAATCCACCCTATTCACTATCAATCTCTCACAAACTGCTGTGCATTCCTTGGATTCATTGTAGACATAATCTACTGAGCTTGAATCCTAGTTCTACAGCAGAACTACAAATACGTGACCTTGGGCAAGTGTTTTGGCCTTTCTAAACCTAAATGTCCTCATCAGTGGTAAAATGAGAGTAACAATCCCTATTTTAAAAGGCTACACTGAGGATTACATGAGGCAATTCTGTTTTCAAACATATCTCTGCCTCAAACACTAATCCTATATCCTTCCTTCCCCATCTCCTCTTCCCATCATGAAGGCCTTCTCCTGCCTAGACTGGAAGTCCATTATACTCTCATAAGACTCTATATTTTCGTTTCATTGCATTGAAAGTTCCTTGGGACTATTAGTTTGTTCACAATTATATTCCCTTGTGTTCAGTGCAATGCCTATCATACAGTTAATATATGACTCAAATTAATGTTGGTTATTTTAATTGCCTAGAAAATATTTGTATTCACTCCAGATTATAAGGGCAGGAATCATGTCTTCTATATCTTTGTATCTCTAGAGATAAGTGCAGTAACTGATACATAGTTGACATCCAATAAATATTTACTGCATAAAAGAATCCACTAGCTGTGTGACTTTAGCTAACTTGCTTAACATCACTATGTCCATTTCCTCATCTGTAAAACTGAGGAAACATCAATTTTGCAAAGCTGTTGAGAGAATTAAATACGATTATATAAGTAAAAGGTGTACATACTCAATAGATATTACTCCCTTTCCTTTCCACTTCCTTCAACTACCCAGCCCCCCTTGCATATTCTATCTCTCTCCTCATTCTATCTTATTACTCACTATTACTCTGCTCTGAAGAAGAAAAATGGGGCAAGCTTTCATAAATTTCCATAGCAAAAGGAAAGAAAGACCTAGCTAATTTAAGAACTCAAAATCATATATATATATATTACACATACACACACACACACACACACACACACACACACAAGAAACTACCATTCTACTGATAATCTCTATTTTCCCTCATTATTTCAAGATATGCCAAGACTACATCTCTATTTCCCTTCATTTTTTCAAGATATACAGAATAAAATGATAGTTAAGTCTCCTTTTGATTTTACCTGAACCACCCTCAGCAAAGTCTGTACCAACAGAGTGTTCTGAGGAACACCAAGCTTCACTATAGCATAAAGACTGAACAGCAGGTGGTCATAGTACATGATCTTGGCTTCTCTCATCATTTGTTCACACAGCTGGATAAATGCAGGGTGATTAAACATCAGTTGTTTTTCAAAGTGCTTCTGGTCATTGGACATCCTTTTGGCAATTGTCCACATTGCTAAGAAATAGTTACTACTAGGAAATGTAGGTACTTCTGAAAATTTATCTAACACATCACTCAGGGAATTACATTCCTGAGACAGTTTTCTAAAGGTGACAGGGGTTGGTTTTGTTTCCTTGGTGGAAACATCTTCATTAGAGGCCTGATGATGAAAGTTTATTTTCTTCAATTCATTATCAGAGACAGGAGACTGTTTTGAGTCAAAGCACAGTCTTCTAGGACAGAGTAGTCTGTTGACTATAAGGGCTGTTACAGTGCTTATGCCCTTTGTTCGAAAGTCATCATCTTCTGATTTAAAAATCAAGGCATCCTGAAAGAGATATCTAATAGATGATTGCATTTTGTTTTCAAGGTTATTCAAGAGAAGGTTTCTTGGGTTCCAGTTTGAATAAACAGTTTTTGGTCTGCAAAATCCCAAAGGATACAGCCTCACAGTTGTGCTTGTTGGAGATACAGTAGTGAATTGTCTGAGGTTCCATAAAATGGAACCTGCTCTGTTATTCATTTTGCTGTCCACTGAAACACGTCCCAATGGCTTTAAAGTTGTCAACGTGATACAAACGTAGCTTCTATCAGTGAAAGAGAACACATGCCCTTGTTTGTCTTCCTGTAGGGGAAGGGGCTATGAGGAATAAAAATGGAAGAAAAACCTTTACTTAGACAAATGAAATGCACTTAACAGAGACTAAAGTGGGGACCTATGGAGATATGAAAGGTTTACATTAAAATGGTAAAAACTCTTTCACCGATAGGGGCTTCCTCCACTTCTACCCAATGTGTACATCTCAAAGGAGCCAGGTGACTTTGGAAGTAGCCGTTGTATAAATGAGCTTAAGAAACGAAGTGGGTTTCTGGTGCAACAGTGTCCCCACAAAGCTTCCTCTGCAGGGGCGGATTTCATGTTACCATTGCCTTGGAGATGTCGTCAAAGAAACGTAAGGGTTTAACTTTGGATACTTTTTAACAAGAGCATTTAGCAACGGCAGAACCGGACTATTAGGAACAAGGATTTGAACGAGGTAGACCGGCTCAGGAGAGGAAGCAGCACACTACGGGGATGTCTGCATGTGGTCTGCGTTCGGGAGCGAGACGACCCGCCAGACTCTCCAGGTTTCAGAACCAGTGTCAGGGGCCCGTCCTTTCGGAACTAGGCCACCCAGTGTGACCCCCCTCCCTGAACTTAACGCCCGGGAATCTCCTGAGACCCGCCCCAAGAAGCAGTAAGTCTAAAGCGCAGCACCGCCAACTGTCCCGTCCGCGCGCGTCTTCACTCACCTCGGCGCTCAGCCCCGTGGTTACGTTCAGGCGCCGGCATGACAGCGGCCCCGCGAGCCGCTCCTATCGCGAGATTTGACGGATCCTTCATTGGTCCAAAAGAGCCCGTTCGCGGCGATTTGAGGATTCACTTAGAGAAAAAGTCTACCGAAGAGTATGCCTAGTTTTCTTGGCTGCAAGGATAGGAACGGAGGAGAACGCAGAGCTTTTAAAGGCCATGTTTGATTGTGTACCCCAACATCGAGTCTTTCCCGCGGGAAGCCAGACCCCGCTCTTAGCTATAGAGTGCGCCTGCGCCCTGTCCTTGGCGGCGTGGTTGCTAGGAAACTGGGGAGTCGCGGTTCCAGCCCCGGGTCACAGCTACATCATGGCCAAATTCGTGATTGCAGGTGAGTGATCCCTGCGTGAGCCCACAGATCGCTCAAAACACCGACAGCTGCTCGCCTCCTATGGCCGCTTAGCTGTCATCTTCTTAACTGGCTTCTGTTCTGGCGACTCCAACCTCTATGGACCACCTCAGGCATCATTCAAAGGTGTTTGTTGGGCAATGAGCCTGTGCAAAGCACTGCTGGACACAGGAGATACAGTGGGGGGAAAGACATGTCCTTGCTTTGAGGAACTCTCGGCCTCACGGGGTACAGAAGAATGTGAACTAATTTTGATACAGTGTGATTAATGCAATGAGGGAGACGAGCACAGGGCTCTGGGATGTCTTACAGGGGCTGATTTGTGAAAGTTAGGGATAGGGAGGCCATTCCAGATAAAGGCACAGAGGCTACAAGTCGCATGGCCTAATGGACGATCTGGATATGGAGGAAGTGACTGGGGAAGGACTTGGGGCAAGAACGGGATCCCCAAGTGCACCAAGCAAAGGTGTTTGAACAGTATCTTAAAAGTAATAAGGAGCCATTGAAAAATTTTAAGTAGGAGAGTGTCCTTAATGGGCTTGCATTTTAGGAAGCCCACCTTGTAGGCAATGGAGGAGAAGGACTGGAAATGACCGCTGGAAATGCACTGAAGAGACCTTTACTACAACATGCTATTGTACCTACCTCCTTCCCTTTTCTTAAAAGAATAGACTGATCTTCTATGTCTAGGTCCCCTTTCCACTCAACCTGGCTTCTACATCTACCTCCTTTCCAAAAGAGCCCTCACCAGCGTCACCAGTGACTTTAGAGAAACTGTCTTGTTCTTGTCTTATCTGACCTTTTTGATGCATTAACACAATTGACACCTCCCATGTTCCTGAAAATAAATTTTCTGTGCTTCTGTATTCATTCATAAGAATACTCCTAAGCACCGACTGACTGTATGCTGGGAAGAGAGTGGTAAACAAACGTACAAAGAATGCAGCTCGTGTGGCTCAGGTTCTCTGGGAGCAGTGGCAGTGGCAGAGGACCTTACTTAGGCAAGAGGGCTTCCCAGAGGGAGTGATTTTTAAGCTGAGACCTGAAAGATGAAAAAGAGTTACCTAACAGAGAGGAAGTAAGAAGAAAGAGAGTACTTTAGGCATGGGTAATAAGAAGTGGGGTTGGAATGAGGAAAACTAGCTTGATGGTCGTTGAGACTATATGATAAGTAGAAAATTGAAATAGATTTAGTGGGATTGGAGCAAAGAGTACAAGGAAGATTAGCATAGCCTGAGGCCAGAGTTAGAGAATGTAGATCCTCGTGAGCCATGTTCAGTATTTTAAACTTTATCCAAGGTACATGCAAGGTTTTTGGAAGGGAAGAACATTATAAAATTTACACTTCATCTGAGAGTTATCTCTGCAGTGCGGAAAGAGAAAGACTGGATGCCAAGAGCCCAGTTAGGTGCCATAGTCCCATTGAGAGATAATTGTGTTTTGACCTAGGCTGGTAGACAATAGAAATGGAAAGAAGTAAGTGGATTGTAGAGATGTTAGTAATCTAGAATCCATAGAACTAGTTGTCTGATTGGGTGGAGGAAGGCAAGTAAGGAAGAAGAAAGAGTTTAAATTATTCCCAAGTGATTGTTTGGATAACTGGGTAGATGAGGAGTTATTGGGGGTGGAAAGTAGAAGACCAGGCTTAATACTCTGGATAGTCTTAATACGCTTAGATAATGGGGTAGATGGGCATAAAGGACATAAGAGAAGGAGAAGATTTAGTGAGGGAGTGGTACCAAAATCCATCATAGACATGCTGAGTGCCTATGGGACATTCAGAAGAAGATGAAAAACTACAAGAGGGTATAGATCAGATTAAGGAAATAGGTCTGAATTGGAAATACAGATTGCTGCTTGAAACCAAGAGAGTGGAGATTGGCCAGGAAGAATGTGTAGGGTATGAAGATAAGCCTTGTGGAATGCTTACATTTTAATAGATTGATAAAGGAATACAGACCTACAATGTATAGTGAGGAGTGGGCAGAGAAGTAGAAAGAAATCCTGGAGAATTCCCAAGCATAGTGTGTGCTGCAAGAGGATAGGAGGGGGCCAAATGTGCCAAGGGTCAACAAGAAAAGGATCAAAAAGTATCCATTGGATTTAGTGACATGGAGGTCCTTGGTGACCCTCTAGAGAATTATGGGAACATCCAGATTGCTGTGGGATAAGAAATAAATGGAAGTGAAGAACTAGGGATGGCAAGTGTAGAGAACTCTTTCAAGTTTTAATTAAAAAATAATGAAAGTTCTAATAGAATGATCAAGTGGAAGACAATAGCTACAGAGGTGCATGGGCTTTTTGTTTTTTAGTACTGGAGAAACTTAAATATGATGAGTATATTTAAATATGAAGGGTAAAACGCCTTGGACGGTTTGGCTCAGCAGTTAAAGCATCAGCCCACGGACTGAAGGGTTGTGGGTTTGAATCCCAGTCAAGGGCACATATACCTGTGTTGCAGATTTGATCCCCAGTCAGGGTTGTGTGGGAGTCAACCAATCAATGTGTCTCTCTCACATCTATGTTTCTCTCTCTCTCTCCCCACCATCCCTTCCATTATCTAAAAATCAATGGAAGAATATCCTCAGGTGAGGATTAACAAAAAATACATATATATGAAGGAAAAGGGTAATTAGAAACAGAAATAACATTCCAGAAAGAAGGTATAACGAACTGATCAGAATCAGCGGAAATTCTGAACGTAGTATTCAGAGCATACATGGTAAGATTAGACCTGGACAGGAGGTAGAGTACTTTTTCCCTTGAATAAGAGAAAGAAGGAAAGGATGACTCCAAATGCAGACAGGCTTGTACATGTGATGGCAGGAGGTTGCGGGCTTTCCCAACTGATGCCTTTTTGTATGGATTGGCTTTATTTTTTGTAAAGTAGAGAGCAAGGTTGTCTATTGTCTTTTGGTGGTCCAGAAAAAGGTTGGAGAGAAGAAAGAGTTTCGAAGGAGGTGGACAAAGTCTAGAACAGCAATTGTGGAGAAAAGAATAATGCTGCTAAGGGAAATAGGGATCTCCAAGGGGAGGGGAGGGCCAGTTGAGGCTGGTGACCATGAATTCAATGGTGCCTCTCTGCTTGGTTCTGCCATGTTTCTCCAGGGGTGGCTAGCAGATGGGACCTAGGCACAGAAAAGGCAGGTAATTTGGTTCATCCAGAGTGAAGGGCCTTTATCAGGCTGATTTGCCAGAGCACAGTGGGGCAAGATAATTTAATACGTAAGCCAGAGAGTGGTTTGAATTCATAAACTATGAATTTGAACCAGACAGGGTGGCAAATAGATAGGGAGAGTTTGGGAGGGGTTGATGAAGTCTCCATGAGGTTAACGAACTGGCAATTGGGGTTGACTAGGAAAGAATGCTATAGAGAAACTTCTGTATTTGACCCCTGCCTATCAGACACCCAAGTACTTGCACATCAGTGGCTTTAATTTCCTGTGTGTTGATGGCTGCAAAATCTACATCTTAAGCCCTTACATGGGGTTTTCACTTAAGACTTATGCATGCAGCTACCTATTGGTCACATCCACTTAGATGTACTGCAGATACCTCCAACTGCACTTGTCTATAATTAAACTTCTCACTGACAGTTTCTCTCTGCTAAGCTCAGGATCATCTACACAAACCAGAGTAGAAGTTATTCCAGAATCTTCTCTCTAACTTCAGCTTCTTCTCCCCCAATGCTCCCAGCTACATACATCAAATTCACATATGATTCTACCACCACTCCTCACTTCACACTTTGCCTTTTCATGGCTACTAATGAATAGTGCACTGTTTGTAGTGCATGCTTAATTCGTAGCATGGAAGCCTCTTAGAGGAAGTGAGATCTACCATAGTACTGGAGGGGAGTGAATATTCAATAGTCTTTTTTCCCTTTCTGTATGTTATTAAGATTCTGACTGACCTTCTCTTTACCAATATAATAAAAATCAAAAGCTTATGTGGTGGCAATTTATACTATAACTATGTTGTAAAATATAACTTTATGATTAATTCTATAATTATACAGCATATACTTATAACTGCATGATAATGTCTGTATGATAAAAGGAAGCATTGTGAATTTGAACTCTTTTAGGTAGAGCAGATTGCCCATATTATGCTAAAGCAGAACTTCTGGCAGACTATTTACAAAAGAATCTTCCTGATTTTCAGACATATAAAATTACGCAGCATCCTCATGTTTGGGAGGTAAGAAGCCTTTACAATTTGTTAAATGTACGCATGCACAAAAATGTGTTCTAATTTGCTTAATAGTAATATATCAGATAGGCTTCCTATAATGAATGTTCATGTACTACTGATATTTTACTACTAATAAAATAAATTCCCACTTGACTAACCGGTGTGGCTCAGTGGTTGAGCATTGACCCATGCACCGAGAGGTCACCAGTTCACTTCCTGGTCAGGGCACATGCCCAGGTTGTGGGCCCGATCCCCAGTAGGGGGCATGCAGGGGGCAGCCAATCGATGTTCTCACTCATCAATATTTCTGTCTCTCACCCTCTCTCTCTTGCCCTTTTTCTAAAATCAATAAAGAAAAAATATATATTAAAAATAAATCTTCACTTTCCAGTCTCAAAACATTGTTTTTTCCCTTAATACCTAGTAGAACACATGAGACCCTAATAAATAAGTAGAAAAAATTTGGCTGCCCCCCTCTCCCCCCCAAGAATCATGGTAACTCATATTGCACTTTTTAACTTCCCATTCACTTTCATATTGATTTCTAATGGCATAGGGTGCCTGTTTATTGAAATACCCTCCTTTGGGACTGGATTTTCCCAGAAACAGACTGAGATGAAGATTTCAGTGAAGGAATTTCCTTTATTCGAGGGTGCTCTTGGGAACATCGTCCTGGGAAGGAGTAGGGGCAGCAGCATTGGGCAACGGGAGAAGTTGAACTGCCATGATCTGCAACAGAGGCTCAGCCAGTCATACCAGGAACTCTGAAGCTGGTTGGTACTTCAGAGGTACCCCCAAAACAGGCTAAGGGGCTAGGCTTCTGAACTTCCCAGCTAACAGTTACTGGATGCCAGCTGCCCCGGGAAGGAATTTAACTTAAGGCAAGGGAACTTCCTTCGGGTAAGATCACTTCCTGGAGGAAGACTCAACACTGAGCCATCGGCAGCCAACAAATCCAGTGGCCGAGGGATTGAGTGCCTTGGTCATGAAGGGGAAACCTGGACTGCAATGACCGGATCTGCCACAGGTCACCAGGTGTGCCATTTGGATCCACATGCCCACCTAATAAGTTCATATCATCTGAGAACAGCTCTTCAGGATTCTGGTTGGCCTTTCTCCCTAGAGAAGCTTTAGAAGAAGCTTAATCAGCTGAACTGTAATCTCCACTGCACATCATTTCAGGCCTATAACTGACATTTATCACTTTACTATCCATTATAGATTCCCCTCACCTTCTGCAGGTCTAGGTGACTAAGTAGGTGTGGTGACCTATTCCTGTATGCTTAGGGACTAAGCCCTAGTCTCCATTCCTTTTTTAGGATGTGACTGCTGCACTTGTCCATTTGCTGTCAAAACTGAGCAAGATAGTAGCAAAGATGCCCCTATAAATCATCTAGATAACAAATATTCTTTCCTGCCCACATTGGGTAAAGCTGCCCTACATGCTTCTGATTATCCAGGCCAATTATTCTGTCCAGGATGGTAACTCCTTTCCTTGCCTGCCGGTCTCCGGCACAGGAGCTTAAAGTGATCAAGTGTCATCCATAGCTTAGAGTTAATGGGAGTCTTCCTGATAGATGCACACCCCCACCCCAGGATTTAGAACCTGCAGACCCACAGACTCGAGGGCAAGTGGGTTTTAGGAAGCACAAATTCCCCACATGGGTGATGGTAAGCAGGGTCACTCTTAATTTCATCCCTTGGTTCCTGGATTCATTCATTCTAACTATTGAGGCAAAACACTGTTGATTTATGATATGTATTGTGTCCTGAAAAATGGTACCCCATCCTTGCAAGGCATCAGTCTCCAAGCTGGTGCCTGTACCTTCAGTGGGCTGTTCCGTCCCTCTCTCAGGCTGCTAGGTGGTATGAGGCATGATAGGGCCCGTGAATCCTTTGGTTATGTGTCCTATGTATGTAGCCTTTCCATTAAAGTGGGTCCCTTAGTTCAAAGTGATGTTTTGCAGGATCACATGTTGATAGGTTAAATAATGTGTAAGCTCTTGAACAGGGTGCTGGGCAAAGCCCTATAAGCAGGAAAAACAATTCTTTACCCAGAATATATGTTGATTCAAATTAAGATGAATCACTGTTCTGTTCAGGATGGAGGGGATCCAATTATAATCAACTTGCCACCAATGGACTGGTTGGTGTCTTCAAGAGATAATGCCATTATGAAGGGGTCGGCATTGGTCTCTGTTGCCACACTTTGGACATTTAGTAGCAACAATAGCCACATCAGCTTTGGAGAGTGGCAGCTTGATCTCATAGCTTCTAGCTCTTCATGAGCCCACGTGCCTTCAGCTGTCTAAGTTATCTTCCTGCCGGGTTGCTTAGTGCTTCTTTCACAATAGATATTCTCTGGTGGGCACTGCCCCATGGCCACCTCCTATTTCAAGATTCTATCATCCCAGGGGCCTGGAGTCCAGCTCTATAACAGCATGTCCTTCAACAGATCTGGCCTAGAATAGATGGCCACACGGCTTCTCAGCAATACTGAGACCCCTTTCACCAGTGCATTTCTTATCGCTTTGTGCATGTAGTGTCCCAGGCCCTTCTAGAGCACCTCGTTGACTAGTAGGTTTCCAGCATTCTGTAGTAGCACATACACTTTTGCATGCCTGTTTTTCTGAGCTTTTCGGTCCCTTATTCTATTGTCTCCCAAGGCAGTTCTGGCATTCCTATTTCATTTCATGTGGGCCATCACCTTCTCCAAGCTTTGGAGAACCATCCTAGCAACATTTGACCACTGTCTTCTGAGGTCTTTGCCAAGGTGTACACTCTTAAATTGCAAAAGAGTGATTCATATTGATAAAGTGTTCCTTGTCCAACTTTGTTCCACTCTTGATTCAACACCCTCGGGGTCTAGTCCTATACTCTCTCAGCTCTTGCCAGGATATCAAGTTGCCCTTGATGCAGAAGGTCCTTTGGGGTAGAGTCCCTTTCTTCCATAGACTCAACTTCAGTGGTCAAGCTGTGTTGTGAATATAAGGCCATGGTGGAATCTTTACAGCAGCACTGTTTGCTTTAAGGTGGGATAAAGGCAGAGAGACTTCAACATCGGAAGGGAAATTTGTTTCTATGATTTTATTTGTAAGGCAGTGACGTTACACATGCCTCCAAAGACAAAAATGCTATCATGTGCTTTACCCATGAGAATGTTGCTTTCTATCTCTAATCAGCTCTCCTCTTTGGACGATTTGACTGATGCAAACCAGATCATGATTTAAGCTTTTTCTAATAAATATTATCAGAAATCCCCCAGGTAACTGTTAACTCATCAATTTGATCTGAACAATATAAACTTCACTCACAGATTTGGAAAGCAATATCAAATGTATATGGCCCTGAGACTGGAAATATTTCCTGTAGAAGAACAAGGGGAAAGGCAGTTGAATTTCTCGGAAAGCATTTGAGTTGGAACACTTGGCTTCTTTTTAACATAACACTCCAGGTTTCCTCAGCAAAGACAGCAAACTTCTGTACCTTTATTTGGTCAGTGAATTTGAAGAATATTCTTTCTTATCTGATTAATTTGTTGCTTAACTCATCACTATTTTCTATATTTACATTTTACAGTTTAATATATGTAAATTTTATGTATATACAATAATAGTAAAAAAAAAAAACCAAGCTAGTATTTTAGTGTTTGAATTTAAAGTATTGGATTCTGAGGCAGATATAATGTGTGACTTCGCTTGGAATATCTCTCAACAGAAGTGGCTGAAAGATTTGTGTGAAGAGAATAAATGGAGCCACCAAACTTCTCCCATCATCTGGAGAGAGCTATTGGATCGTGGAGGAAAGGGTTTGCTTTTGGGAGGATATAATGAGTTCCTGGAGCATGCCCAGGTAAATAAATTAAGTTGATTTATCTGTTCAAAACATTATCATTGTCTCACATTGTTTTGTTTTGCTAGTATCTTGCTTTCTAAAGTATTCTCTCAGCTCTTTTTACTCCACTCTGGCTTTAAACAAGAGCTTTGCATCATAGCCATGATCACCTAATTATATTTTCTCTGGTGTTCACTTTTCTTTTGCAAAGTTTAGCTTTACTATGGTGTCACTTCTAGCATGATGACTAAGCTGATGAAGACAATTGCTCAAGAGAACCTGCAGACACTTATAGAAACAGAGCTGGAGAAAGAATCCCTAAAAGACCTCATCGACCCTTTGCAGGTCTGGATCACCAGGTGGGACAGTCAAAACCTAGGATTTGGGAGGTTGGCTTTTTATATTTAGAAAGGAGGGTGATGTGGGATTAATTCTGTGATAGAAGAATATCAAAATGTCAAGTTTGAGATTTGTATATATATGTGTGTGTGTGTGCGTATCCTCCAAGATAGGACATGTATGATCTTTAGATTATATGTATATATATGTATACACATATTAAATCTAAGGACAACTTTACAGCAAAGATATTCACTTTGATAACTCTGTCTCCAGCTCATCTCCTCATTCAGTGCCTCTCACACTGTCTCCTGCTCATCTTGCCCTTATCTTGCTGTTTGCCCTGTGGTCTCTCCTTCCCTGTCCCTTGCTTGCTTCGCCTCTCCTGCCCCATCTCGCTAGCTGTGGCCTTCTCCGTTCCCACCTGCCACAGCTGCTTCTCCGTCAGGCGCCCTTTTCTGGATCCCTGCCCCTCACTGTTGCTCCTTCTTTCTTTTTCTCCTTCTCACTTCTCCTCATTGCTCTCAGTCTTCGGCACTTGTAGTCTTGTCATTGATTTTTCTCTCTTTGTATCCCCACACCCTGTCCCTCTCTTTGTCTCTTTTGCTGTCGGTCTTGCTCTCTCTCCCTCCCCCTTTCCTTTCCCCACCCATCAGTCTCTGTCTCACACTGGCCTTCTGACTACATGTGTGTGGATCCTAACAGAGATGCTCATTTTAAAAATCTTGTTTTATGAAAGATTTCAAATACAGAAAAGAATTTAAAATGATGTAATGAAAAGGGGGACATCTGTAATACTTTCAACAATAAAAAAAAAACAGAAAGAAAATGATGTAATGAACTTACATGAACCTAACACCCAGATTTCATAAATATTACATCTGCTTCAGGTGGTTTTTTTAAAGGATTAAAATGGTACAGCTACTGTGGAGACCCCCATTGGACCCCTCCCCAAACCCACTGTGAAAACCAAAAACTCCTAGATGCATTTCCAAACTCCCTTCAAGAGTCATTACAGCTCTCAGTTGATAGCAAACCATACAGAGAGTCCCCACATACTTGCTGAATTATGGGCAAGAGATGGTGATACCTAGACTGTCAATCCTAAGCTTCTTCATAAGGATTTAGAAAATATAGTCTTTCCAAATATGGTCATTGCTTTGTAGACAAGGGTATAAAGTACAAAAGAGCTATGGTTAAGAGGAACTTGGTATTTCTTTATCTTTTTAAAAGACAATGTAAACATGTAGTTAGAGAAGTATGACACAGTTCTCTCAATTTTGCTTTCTGCATATTCTATTTTAATTTGCAAAAACATATAAACAGGTACATTTCCTATTTGGGGATTATTTTCAGATGGCCAAACAAGGGGTTAGTAGTGAACATTTTTTGTTCTACTCTTGAATTTTAGCCTTAAAAATTAAATGTTCTCATTTAAAAAAGGTAAATAGGTGAGGTGATGAATATGTTAATTAACTTGATGGAGGAATCCTTTAACAATATATACATATGCAAAATTATACACTTTAAATATCTTACTATTTTATTTGTCAATTATACCCCAATAAAGATAAAGTCTTTAAAAAGTAGCAACATGTGTAAAATATGGAAAAGGTGTTTATACAGCTGTGTATGCTTATTTAAAATAATAAATCACTCTATTAACGCACATGCAGAAATATCTATCAAGAATAAAGGCTTCAAAGGGACAAAAGATTTGACCATTCCTAACCCTGCTTTGCGTTGTTAGCGCAGCTGCCCCTGCCTGCTACAGCCTCATTCCCATCCTGGCCAGCGGCGAGGTGTTCGGCGTGAACACGGAGATTAGCATAACTCTATTTGACAATAAGCAGACCGAAAAAATTCTCCAAATCCTTGCGACAGAGACGCAGGACCTGGTGTCGCCCTTCCTGCGGAGCATCTCGGTCTGCACGAGGGCGGAGGACGCCTTCCGCCAGGCCCACGTGGTCGTGGTCCTGGACGACCCCACCGACCAGGAGGTGTGCTCGCTGGAGGACAGCATCCGGAGCAGGGTGCCGCTGTGCCGGCTCTACGGGTACCTGCTCGAGCAAAACGCTCACGACTCTGTCCGAGTCGTTGTGGGAGGAAAGACCTTTGTCAACCTGAAAGCGGCGATGCTCATGAGATACGCCCCGAAGCTCGCGCACAACATTGTGGCCGTGGCGCTGGGGGTGGAAGGGCAAGCCAAAGCCACGCTGGCCAGGAAACTGAAAACCGCCTCCTCAAGTGAGTGAACCCCGTTTCCGCTTGTTTCTGAGCAACCTGATCTGAAAGTAGCTCTGTGCGGTCTAGGATCCTTCAGGAATCTCGAGTGGAGAGTGCGAGGCAGATACAAAAAACGCCTTCCTGTGTGGTTTGACTTCTGTGCAAGCATTTTTTTTAACTGGCTTTCGTGACTACCTGACGTCCATCATTATACAATAAGGTTTATACTTTTCAAGTAATCATTTGAAACCTAATATTTCATTTCATTACCCATGATATTAGTTTAAAAATGTAATCAGTGTTTTTGTTTTTCTAATAATTTTTTTTAAAAATTTACAGTGAAGCCCTATGTTAAAGTGGCTCCACCCCACTTCCTAATTGTGGGTGTTGGGGCAATCACTTCACCTGGCTGTGCCTCAGTTTCCTCACCTGTAAAATGAGGCTGTTAATAGCACCTAGAACTGACATGAAGATTCGATGAGATAACACTTGCGAAGTGCGCAGAGAGCACTCGGCACATGGTAAACATTTCGAAGCCATTAAACTTGTGGTGGGATTGTGGTACCTGATCAGTTTCTGCTCCTATGAATCTTTGAACTGATAGATGTCACAATCACCTGAGGATGAGACTGGATCAGAAAATGGACTGTTGTATTTAAAATAGAATTGCTGTAGTTAAAAATATTTGTCATATTTAACCAATCTTAGCTATTTGTGGCCTTAGCTGGAGCAGGCACAACAGAGTCCACTGAGAATTCAAGGATGTGCAAGGCATTCCCTCAGGCAATTGGAAAGATACTAGATGGAAGCCCAGAATGCTCTGAATGGGGCTATAAATGATTTCAATGAGCCCCTAATGCATTACGGCAAGAGCTGTATTATCCATTTCTTTACAGTGAAGCCCTAGAACCATAACTTCTGCTATTCCTGCATACACATCTTCAGTGTGTTACCCCCAGGGTCTGTCATACCTCAGCCAAATTGATACTAAAATCATTCAGTAGGAAAGCGAGAATTTTCTAATCATTTTATCTCTGTTGCCAACCAACCTTATATGTATATGTGTAGATACTGATCTTTGTGATGATCAAAAGACATGCTGATGAAAGTGTCAAGAAGAAGCAGAGTTACAACATTTTAAACAAGGTGCAGGCTGGCAGGGGCTTCAGCCAGAAAGCCACTTCCGAGGGTCTGCTGGTGCTGTACATTCTAAGCCCTGCTGTCCTCAAAGACAGGCACATGAGAAGGAGGAAAAGAAAAACAAAGTAAAGTTGGAAAAAGGAAAGAGAGACAGTAGAGGGACAGTGGTCAGAGTAGAATTGTCAGTGGAGTAGCGAGGAGAAACTCAGCAGCTACAGAGACCGAGCTGAAAAAAATGATGTGAAATACAAAAACCATCAAGGAGAATCGTTCGGGGAAAATTCCAGATGCCAAGAGGGTAGCAAACCTTTTCAGGATATCCCCTGAGTTCAGTTTACACGTGACTGTCTCTCACACTAGGTGACTATGCACTTTGGCTTATTGGGATTCTTTGTGTTGCAGGTGACAGAACGTCCACTCAAAGTGACTCAAGTCAGATAGAAGACTTTCACATCACTGGAAAGTGCAGGAGGTGGTTTTGATTTCAGGTGTAGCTGGATGCTAGGGCTCAGACGATGATATCAGGACTGGCTTGTGTTCTCTCTTGGCCTATTGCTCAGCTCTGCTTTGCTCAGTGTTGGTTTGACTCATAGGCAGAAGTGCCAAAATGGCCCCTGGCATCTCTTGCCTCATATGTTCATAGTTTCACTACCCTTGCAGAAAGAGGGCCCCCCCCTCTCTCAAGTCTTCAAAATAGCAGGGTGGATAATACCTCATTGGCCAGGCTTGGGCCACATGGCCATCTTTGAGATCAGTCGTGACCAGAATCTGGAATTTTGGTTTCATGCTTATTGATAGACCTAAGGGGTGAGGAAATCGCCCTTCAACCCATATGGAATGAAATCAGGGAATGGTGTTTAGTTAAAGAAAAACCAGGATGCTCTTAAAGAAAAAAATAAAATAAAAACTAGGGAGAGATGCTAGGAGGGAAAAAAGAAGATGCCCACTATAATTTTCTCTAGTATAATTTAGGGCATTAGAGCTATAAAGGACCTAAAAGCTAGTAGGAAAGACAATACCCAGTGATATTAAAAGGTTTCTTTAGACTTTAGGCAGAAAGCCTACCATATGCTTACTTGGAGCTGGAGAATTATTTTCCCCTTGTGGGATCCCATGAGCTCCATACCAGACTCCACCTTCCCTTCCCTCCCACAACACGAAGCTAATAGAAGGGCCCAAATGCACATCACTAGCTCTCTCCGGATTTGGGTGTTTGAGGCATCACTGGCTATTGCTATTTCATGAGTCATCGTGATGAGAGAGAATTTCAGAGGGCGATGGTAGACACTGATTGTTGACTACACAAGATCCATTTCTCCCCCCCAACTTCTCCCCCTAGCCTGTCTCTTGCTATGAAGGTTCAAAAAGACACTCATTTGTTCAGCTTCTCTTGCATCTGGGGTTGGTCAAGTGATGCAATCTGCTTGAAGTCCTATGCAAAGACGTTTCACTCCCGCCCTGGCCGGTTTGGCTCAGCGGTTAGAGCATCAGCCTGCGGTCCGGAGAGACCCGGGTTCGGTTCCCGCTAAGGGCACGTACTTCGGTTGCAGTTTGTCCCCGGCCCTGGTTGGTCGTGCGGGTGGCAGCCACTCGATGTGTCCCTTTCACGTCGATGTTTCTCTCTCTCTCTTTTCCTCTCTCTCCCTCCCACTCTATCTGTACAAAAAATGGAGAAATGTCCTCGGGTGAGGATAAAAAAAAAAAAAAAAAGACGTTTCACTCCCTGAAAAGGCAAAGGAGGAAGCCTCTGTCTTGTTCTATCCCCTTCTACCTGCCTTTGAACACAACTGTGAGAGTGTGATACTTGAGCTGCTGCAGCCATTTTAGGACCATGAGGGGAAGGCCAAGAGAATAACATCTTTGGGCTGCTGAACAAGCACCCGCATCACTGCCTTCCTTGACAGCTTGTTATGTGAGAAGAGTACATTCCTGCCACTGAAGCCAAGTTTGTAGGCTATTCTGTTACTTGAGGCCAACAGCAATCTTACCTCCTATAGAAGAAATAGGGAGGAATTTCATCTTTAATGTAAGAAGTGATGTGGCCTTATAAACAAATTGAGTTTTAAGCAAATAAATAGGTAATAAACAAATCAATAAAATTACTCATTTTGACAATATTCCTAGAACATTTACAATTATAGAATCTTATTCAGTACCAATCCCTATTTCTCTCTAACCCCATCCTCTGATTTTCCTTTAAAGTATGCACTGTAGAGCAGTTGTTTTCTCATCCACTCCCCACCACCTAGAATTGTGCAAGGATTTGGGCTGATGGACTTTCTGGTAAGCCTACCACCTAGCAGGGCCTCACACATAGAAGCTAATTCGCTAACTGTGCGTCAAGATGTTCCTCGGGGTCCTCTTATTACAACACCCTCATTCTGCAGCAGACAGAACCCACCGGGGAGTTACATGATTGCCCACATTTCTTTTCCAGTCTAGAATCAGGGACTTTTTGTCAGAATCAAAGTAGATAAATAGTTCTCCTAAGGCAAGCAGAGGAATGAAGTCAGGACCAACGCCAGTGGAATCATTATCAGCAGCGATTTCTTCAGGGAGCATTTCAGTATTCCTTGGTTTCAGTTATATGCCCACACCACACCGCTCACAGGGCATTAGGAGGGATCGCCAACCCTGAATGAGGAGATGATTGAGCCGCATCATTTGCACATTTTTAGGCAGCATAAACTGAGATCTGTTTTAGAGCAAAAGGACCAATCCCAAAACAAACACACAAATGAGAAATAGGCTGCAGGAAATATTGGATATTAATGTTCACTGTTATGTTAATTTTTGTTTCTTTTCTTCACAGGCATCAAAGATGTGATCATTTGGGGTAATATTAGTGGAAATAGCTACGTTGACCTGAGAAAAGCCAAGGTTTACAGATATGAGAGTGCTATTTGGGGACCTCCTGACTTTTCACGCCCTATTTTAAGCCTGGTTTTTGATAGGTACTGTATATTTCGAAGAGAAGTATACTAACAGTGTTGAATAAATGTTTAATAATTGTCATAATCTTTTAAACCATCTTGGAAATCTTTGTACAAAACTAACTCGACATTGTTTACACTCATCTTTGTTTATGCTCTGTATTGAAGAAACATAGAAAGTTCCATAGTATTTCAGCTAGTCAGTCCCCACCTCCAATTTATTTGGTTTTGAAATTATACATTTTTCTATTTCAGATTATCCTGAAAGTGGCTCACCTGTTCCGTTAAAGTTCTCTCTAAAGCAAGCATATGTAATGTGAATCTCATTTAACGTAAAGACAGATATGTACCAACCAATGTTGAAATTAGTTGAACATTTTCAAGAACAGGGAATGAAGATGCTGAGCAGGCCCAGGCCCTGCTGGGTGTTCTGTCCCGGGAGAGGCAGAATGGAGAAGTGCTGAGGGGCACATCGCCCCTAGAGCCAAGGCACCGGGGTTGAAATTCTCAGGTAGCCAGTTATTAGCTGTGTGACTTTAGAGAAGTTACTTAGCCTTTCTATTCCTCAGTGTTTTCATCAACAAAATGGAAACAGTAATATAGTATGGGCCTTATAGAGTGGTTCTGAAGATTAAATGGGTTAATATTACAGGTGAAGCCTACCTTAGAACTGTGCCCACCACTGTCAACACCGCCATTGTGCTAGGGCAGAGGAGAGAGGGAAGGAGGAGAGCCTTTGAAACATTTTTCAAAATTTTGCAGCACTTTCCTGTCCAATGCCCCTCCCTTTCCTTCCCTTCCTCCGGCCTTAAGAATTTTGTCCATCCCTAGGAAGGCTAAGTCTCCAGTTTACCCTCTTGGAGTGTGGTTCTTCTGCAGTTGCTACCTGGATAGGGGCAGTATCTAATGGGACTGTGTTGTGATGGCTTTGCAGGGGCAGCCATTTAGTGCTTGCTCTAGTCTAGCTGGACTATTCCTTGCCTATAAACTTCAGATTATAAAAACACAATACAAAGCATTATTTCCCTAGTTCTCAATATGAGTAAGTCAACATTTTATGATGCTGTTTTATTTAAAACGAAGGATATCACTGGTTCCAAGATAGTATCTACATAGAATAAATTCTTTGTAATGAAAGTAATTGTTCTTGCAGCCTTTGACTCCTTTTCTGTGTTTCATATTTATTAATTATCTTGTTTTTAGTTTGAAACTTTGAGATTCCTTTCTGCTCTATCTCATTACTTTTCCATCAATGTTTTATGGGATAGAAGAAGTTTGAAGAAAGGATGCAGGAAGTCGCATCTCTATTTTGTGGAGATGATTATTTATACTCAGATTCATTGTCCCAGGGAACAGTCTTTTTCATCTCCATTTCTCCCTTCACTGAAAAATTGCTTCTTTCTCTCCTTACAGTGAGTGGATAAACAGAGAATTTGTGGCAACTCTTCAAGACTTGGTCAGCACAGGAAAACACTTTGGAGGCATGTTGGCTGCACACAGTATAGCCACTACATTGAAATACTGGTACCATGGCTCACCACCTGGCGAGATCGTGTCCTTAGGAGTGTTGAGTGAAGGTAAACCTGGGTCTTTCACATCTTGTAATATTGGAAAACCTCCATGTATGCCTTGCACTCCTGATTCTGTGACCCCACCTATTATCTCTTAACATGATCATTAAGCTGTCTGGATTTTAACAATTTCATAATTGTGTTCCTTGTATTTCTTGAATGTTAATTAGCGGAACCACCATCCTCCCCATTCAGCCTGTGACTGTGGTGCAGCTCAAGGAAATCCCCCAAAGCCCCCTGATCAGATTAAGCTCTGCCTGTCCTCTGTACCCACGTAGCATTATGTTCCTCCATCAGAAAGCATGTTCCAGCCTGCCTTTATGGATGGGTGGTTAGTCGCATATGTTCCCTCCACTAGAGTGTGTGTACCCCCTGCAGGCAGGGCTTTGCCTGGGTCTTCCCACTGCTCCTTCAGGGGCAGACACTCAATGAATCTTGTTCAACTGCAGTTACAATGTATGAACATTCTCTTTGTCTATTACCTTTCAATCAGTATATTACAAATCAGTATATTACCTTCTTAGTGAAATAGGCATTTTAAAAGTTACCTTTATTTGTAAAAAATTTAATTAATCTCTGTAGCATTTCATCAGTAAATGAAGCAATACTGGGGAAGAGGAGCTGTGACCATTGTCTCCCTGAAACTGTCCATATAAGTAAACCCTCATATGTTATCTACCCATAGAGCTGGCTCTTTACAGAGAAAACAAATAGAGAGTGAACGGAGGACCTGGGACACCCTCTGAGGAAGTTTTTTAGACCCTAGTTTCTTGACTCTCTGCATTTATTTTGCCCTAGTGGCTACATTTGTGATGGCTAGAATGGTAAGCATAATTCTCTTATCTGACTGAGGTGCTCAAGGGGTGGGGCAATGTTATCTGAATGTTGCTCAGTTAGTAACAAGTATTGTCAATCTTTTTATTTGGAGCACATCCAGGCTGGGAACTGGAAACTGAGAGGAAATCACCAACATTCCTGCTTCCTCTCTTTCCCTTCCCAGTCCTCACAACTGAACTGTATGACTGCCATAGTACCTTAGAAGAGTAGAAGGCCAGGGGGACAAGGCCAGCGGCTCAGGGGCTGCGAGAGGCACAAGGAAAAGCCTTGGGAAGTAGACAGAAGGAGCCCAGACAAGATGGAGAAGAAAGACTGCATCAGCCCTCCAGGCAGAGGCAGGCAGTCTGAACCCAGAACAAAGGGACGAAGAAGAGGGAACATGGTGCTCCCTTCCAAGAGAAACACAGAAGGGGGAACTGTCAGAACTTTGACAGATGCCCAGTCAGTACTTCTGAAGGGTTTCACTTCTCCCTGAAGAAGAATCGCCAGAAACTTAGTTCCACCATCATCATTAATATTCATGTACCATGTCTGTTCTACAGTGTTTCATAGGTAAGACTTATTTTTCTGAGTGTTTTTGTTTTTCTTGGCTTTGTGTTTGCTCACTGCAGGCCAGTTTGGTATTCCTGAAGGGATCGTCTTTTCTATGCCTGTGAAATTTGAGAATGGAACTTGGGTGGTTCTCACAGATCTCCAAGATATTGAAATAAGTGAACAAATAATGACCAGAATAACAAGTGATCTAATTCAGGTAATGTCAGAATAGATACAAGGCAACTGAGTTTGATAATGATCTTAAACTGTTTCTCCTAGGCCAAGGCATACATTTGTTTTCTTTGGATTGAATTAGAATCTTATTCCTAAAAACAATAAGGAACCAACACAAGTTTGAAAAAAATCAGCAGAGAATCACTGTTCATTTGGTTGTATAATTTCTGGTACATAAAAATTGTTGTAATTTTGGGTAATTGTAATTGTTGGTTACTTAAAAATCAAGAATCAAAGTGTTTTCTTTTAAAGAATGATTAAGTTAATCATTGTGGTCATTTAATTCTCTAATTACAAAATTTTTCAACAGGAAAAACTTGTTGCACTTGGAGATTTGATATCTTTTCAGCCATATCAATCAGGTAATCTTTTAGATGTGATGTTTTATTGGGCTGCTCTTGAAAGAGTATTAAAATATTCATTAAAACTGAATCACTATTTAATATAGATAACTATAATCCATATTTTACCACCTTTAAACTAAAATTTTTATAAGATAAACTGCCAGGTTTACTGTGTCCTTTGAAATAAAACATCTCATAAGAACACTAAAGAAATCACATCTTGAAAACACTATGACCACATAAATTTTGGGTATACCATATGTATTCATTTTCTCGGGCTGCCATAGCAAATTACAACAAACCGGATGTCTTAAAACAACAGGACTGTGTTGTCTCATGGCCCCCAGACTAGAAGAGGTGTGGGGGGCCCTGCTCCGCTGACGCTCTGGGGGAGATCCTGCTTTGCCTCCTACAGCATCTGGAGGCAGCGCTTGGCATTCCCGGCCTACAGCGGTGTCACTCCGGCCCCTGCCTCTGTCTTCACGTGTCTGTCTTGCCCTGTGTAGTCCACATTTCCAAATCCAAGGACACCAGTCATTGCATTTAGGGCCCGCCCCAGTCCAGCATGACCCCACCTTAACTTGATTATGTCACTGCATGGTCTCTCATGCCTATTGATTTTGTTCTATGTACGTGTTTTGCACACCCAAAAACATAAACAGTCGGATAGATCGATCTGGATCAATGAACGTTAATGTTGAACAACCAATGGAGAGGGAGAGGGTGAAGACAGCGGGTAGTGAGGAGAAAGATTTTCAAGACAGGAAAAAATAAGCTCCAGAACACGGAATCAGCTTCATACAGGAAGTGCCTCTGCTTCGAAGGCCTAGGGGAAGGGAAGAGGTGGGGGTGTGGATACAGGGAAGTATGTAGGATGGGGGGATTCAGAAAAAACAGGCAGCAGGACCAGGTCCCCAAGACTAGGGGAAAGGCTACCATTATAAGGGAAGAAGTACAGATTTGAAATAACCGTCAGAAGGAAAGAAGGAACATGGAAATACACAGATTTTTTTTTTTTTTTTGAGCTGAGGGCTCAGTAGAAGTTAGAAACCATGAATTTGTAGTGACTCCAATATATGTTGTGTGATTCGCTGCAGAGGCGCTCGGCTGCCTGGACGCAGGAGTGGAAACCTAGATGGATGATTTGTAGTAAGCCCCGACATAGTAGGGTGTACTGCCATCAATGCAATTGGAATAAAAATAACACTGCACTGTATTCCAACAAAACTCTGAATGTTTCCATGATGACTTGATTTGGAATATCAAATTATTTCCCAAAAGTTTTTGTTTTTCTCATTTTTTTCCTCATATTTCTCTTGTTTTACTGGCACCCTAAATGGGTTAAATGGGTGCTGCGGTAATTTTGTCATTGACATTGAACATGGGGATGGAAAATGAGTAGTTGTGTTATCTTACCATTTGGGAAGGAAGGAGGTGAATCAAAAAAGTTGAGGATACTTGCAAGAAAGCCAATGAAGTGATGAATTATAGGCATCTAGCTTGGATAAAGAAAGAAGTAATAAGTAGAAATAAAATTAAAAGCTCCAGGCAGGGGTGGTATTGAAAATATTTAACGACCAGTATAGTATAAATTTCAACCAATTAAAACAGTTGCTGCCTCTCAGAATGGATTAACTGGTATAAAAAAATAAATTAAAAAAACTCTGGCAGTGAGCAGGACTGCCCTTGGTCCAGACCATCCAGACCTGAGTTTCGGGAGGTCGAAGGTCAAAGTAATGGCAGTGAGAGGAAGGGCATGGGAAAAGAGGTCACAGCAGAGGGCGGGCTGTGGGAATTCACACTCGGTCTGGCTGTTGGTGAACCCAAACAAAGCCGGGAGGCAGCGCAGAGGCAGAGGGTGCAGGCACAAACGTCTGATGAGCATTTGGTTTTCATGCAAAATCTTTTGCCCTCAGAATTTAGAGGTCCTCTGTGTCCTGTCTGCACTTGGCAGGCCTCTAAAGCTGTAAATTCCTTTCATGATAATGAGCTATAAAGCAGTCATTCTAAATTTGTCTCCAATGACTGGTAGGTAGTTCTAAATTTCCCATAATACTGGCATTACAGAGGGTTTTGTGAAAGAAAATGACCTGATTTTATGCTGCGTTTTTATTAACAAAGGTCAAGGTGTATATAGAGTTGATTGATCTTGGCTCTGTCACCATTGGACCTTGCCCAAAACACTGCTCCAGAAATTCAGATCAAAGCATTGAAAATAATTAGAACTTTGCAGAGTTTGGGCATCTCTGCTTATTAACATATCAGTGAGATGATTCATGTGTGAGAATTTTTTAATCTTTTGAATTAAGTTAATACTTAATTTTCTGACTTTTAGAAGTTGAAAGGACTATCTCACCTGCTACAAGTGATGACCAGGAAAACCAGAACGTCTCAGATGGTAGGTATATCAATTAGAAAAAAGAAATACTCTTTTCATTCGAGACTTAACACTAAATTTCAAAGAAGTTTTACTCAATTTGTTAGCAGTTTGATTACCTATTAGCCATATAATAAGAGTTGAAACTTTCATCATCCTAATCCTATACTAAAATATAAGATCATATTCAAAATCTATTAAAATCTTTGAAGGAAATGACCAGATATTCATCGAACACCTTCTATGTACTGATCACTCTGAGAGACAGTGAGGGACACAATAAGGGAATTTTGGCCACAGAAACATATCTGAGGGAAAGGAGCCATGAGACTATGAAAAGGTAAATGCCAAGATACGCAATGAATTAAAAAACTCAATAAAGCCCTGGCTGGTTTGGCTCAGCGGTAGAGTGTCGGCCTGCGGTCCAGAGAGACCCGGGTTCGGTTCCCGCTAAGGGCACATACCTCGGTTGCAGTTTGTCCCCGGCCCTGGTGCAACCACTCGATGTGTCCCTTTCACGTCGATGTTTCTCTCTCTCTCTCTCTCCCTCCTCACTCTATCTGAACAAAAAATGGAAAAATGTCCTCAGGTGAGGATTAAAAAAACAACAACAACTCAATAAAACTAAGGTCGAGACAGGTAAAAAAGAAAGAATGTATATAATAAATAATCTAAAAACTTACAAGGAAAGGAAAGATTCTTGTACTGTATGAAGGAGACAATTTAATAATATCCTGAGATCTAGTTGTGACCTAGGATGGCTAAAGATAGTCAAAGGGCATTTGTTCAGAAACTGTGCTAGTTCATTCACACCAGATGGGAAACGTCTAGAGATCTACTCCACGACAATGTGCATATGGTTAACAGTACTATACTGTACACACTGAAAGTTTTGTTAAACAGGCAGAGTCTATGCTACGTGTTTTTACCACAATTTAAAAAAACAACAACTGTGCTAGGTCCTAGGGACATAAACATAAATCAAATGTTGTTCTTGCCCTCAAAGTGTTCACCGTCTTGCTTGGGAAGCAGCAAAACTACCTTATTGAGAAGTGTGGTGACAGAAACAGGCCCAGTGTATAATGGGACCACACAGGGTCTCCTGACATAGGCTGGGTGTGTAATGAAAGGCTTTTAGGAAGAGATGAAATGGGAGCTGAGTCTGGAAGAGTGAGTGAGAATTATTCGTGTAATTCAGTGCAAAGGGCGTGTGCAAGTGGAGGGTTGGCTAGGAGAGAAGTTGGGAAAGGTATCCCCACCTGAGGGAAAAAAGGGCAAAGGAGGCGTTGCAGGTGATCAAGGCAAGGCCAGAAATATGAACCTGAGACAGTATAAAATTGTATTCAGAAGATAATAAGTAGGGTAACTGAGCAAGAGCAGCAGATCCCAAAAGAATGAGGACAGCTGGCAAAGGTAGGCAGGAGCATCTGCTGTTTGGTTGAATGGTTGGTTATGAGCTCGGCAATATGGCTGGTGAGTGGTGGGACGAAGCGTAACATAGATGGAGGTCAAGCTTAGAGGACTGTGCTTCATCAGTGCCCCTCTCGATGATGATCAAGCAGCCCAGTCACTGTCCGGAGGAGTGTGGTGAACTCAGTCCCAGCCAAACTAGATCTCTTACGAGGCCCACTCAGATAGACAGTATCTCCAGGCATGTGGTCTGTTATGCCAGCTGCCTGGCTGGTGTTACGTGCAGAGGACTGGTGCGGCCCTCACGGAGAGGCCCGAGGGCTGCAAGGCTCCAGTCCGGCGAGAGGTCTGCGAACATCCCCGAGCTCTGTCGTGAAAAGGCTGGCTGGGCAGCTGTCCCGGACCGAGGAGAAGCCAAATTGTCGAGAATGTATTTCTGAGTCTCCGTATTGGAACAATTTAAGTTGTTAATTAAAGTTTTAGGTTTTTAGCCCTGGCCAGTTTGGCTCAGCGGTTAAAGCGTCGGCCTGCGGTCCGGAGAGACCCGGGTTCGGTTCCCGCTAAGGGCATGTACCTCGGTTGCAGTTTGTCCCCGGCCCTGGTTGGTCGTGCGGGTGGCAGCCACTCGATGTGTTCCTTCACGTCGATGTTTCTCTCTCTCTCTCCCTCCCACTCTATCTGTACAAAAAATGGAAAAATATCCTCGGTGAGGATAAAAAAAAAAAAAAAAAGTTTTAGGTTTTTAAACCTTCTAATAAATGATCATCTTATGCAGACTAAGGAACTTTAGTGGTGATAAAGTGGAGATAATTGGGTTGATTTCAGGTTGTTTGGGGGGCTGTTTGTTGAATGAGTATTCGAATCAAATATAGCATTATGCTTCCCATGTTGTGGGTTAGGTAGGTTGTGAAAATATTTAGTGGGTCATGAAAATCAATTTAATAACTAGCATATTCTCTCAAACTAGAATAAAATTAATACTAAAAGGGTAAGGAGATCAGAATTTTTTTTCAATGACCTAGGATTAAATAGAAAGAAAAAGATAAGCAGAAAGAGTAAGAAAAGAGTAAGAAGTGTGGAAAGGGTAAATATTGTAACATTTTGTTTCAAAATATGCACACAGTGCATGTATTGGATTCTGATGTAAAATGCATTTTTTACTGTGGGTCATGGTCAACAAAGTTTGAAAACACTGACTTAAAACACCTCAAAGGCTGTGAGTTATACTCTAAACCCAACATGTTTTATCTTGTTTTGGTTTCAGAACATAAAGCTAACACTCAATTTGATCCAATCCAAGAGGAAGGAAAAGATGTCGTTAAGCCAGATGGTAAGTCAGTTGAGTTAGAAGCAATCTCTGCAGTGCTAGTCATGACTCATGTTGTTCAGTCTTAGAGTATATGATCAGAGGAGTACAGTCCAGCAACCGAAGTCATGTGGAAATAACTCCGTTTCTTTTCTTATACTTTGTAAACAATTTGAAAGAGGGATAAAAATGTCAACAATTTTTAAAAATGTATGGAAACTGCTTCCGTGTCATATTTACCTCAAACTCTTCCCAAATACTCTAACCTCAGCTTAGCCCTTCAGTGACGTGGCAAGTCAGGGTCCTCCTCAGAAGGTGTGTGAGAGGAAGAGGCTGAGAAAGCCAAGATAGAATTTTTTTAAAAAAATTTAATTAATTTATTTTTGTTACAGATGTTTTTCTTTTTTTCCCCCATTGATAGCCTCCTCCCAATCCCCCCCCCCCCCAGCATTATTGTCTATGTCCTTGTTTACACATACATGCATAAAAGTTCACTATGGAAAACACTATGGTGTTTCCTCAAAAAGTTAAAAATTGAACTGCCATTTGATCCAGTGATCCCACTTCTAGGAATATACCCTAAGAAGCCTGAAACACCAATTGGAAAGAATATATGTACCCCTATGTTCATAGCAGCACTATTTACAATCGCTAAGATCTGGAAACAGCCCAAGTGTCCATCAGCAGATGAGTGTATAAAAAAGCTGTAGTACATATATGCAATGGAGTACTATGCAGCTGTGAGAAAGAAAAATCTCTTATTCTTTGAGATGACATGGAAGGACCTGGAGAATCTTATCCTAAGTGAAACAAGCCAATCAGAGAAAGACAAATACCACGTGATCTCACTTGTTTGTGGAATATAATGAACAAAACAAGCTGAGGAACAAAATAGAGCCAGAGACATGGAAGTGGGAGGTGGATGTGCAAGGAGGGAAGAGATAAACCACAGATAGAATGGATAAAATTCTTTTAGCAGGGAAAATCTCTCTCTCTCTCTCTCTCTCTCTCTCTATATATATATATATATTTTTTTTTTTTTTTGTAAAAATATATGTATACATACATATATATTTGTAATACATATATTTGTAAATTTCTATGTAAATATTTATATTTGCAAAATACTTGTTAATATTTATGTAAAGTTATGTAAAAGATTATATATTTGCTAAATCTGCCTATACAAATATCCAAAAATAATAATAATCAAGCCCTGGCCGATTTGGCTCAGCGGTTAGAGTGTCAGCCCGTAGACCAATGAGTTGCAGGTTCAATTCCAGTCAAGGGCACCTACCTTGGTTGCGATTCGTCCCCAGTTCTGGTTGGGGTCATGCGGGAGGCAGCCACTCGATGTGTCCCTTTCACATTGTGTTTCTCTCTCTCTCTCTCTCTCTCTCTCTCTCTCTCTCTCTCCCTTTCTCTCTCTCTCCCTCCCATTCTATCTGAACAAAAATGGAAAAATGTTCTCAGGTGAGGATAAAATAATAATCTAGACTGTTTCCATTTTTACCACTTCTTTACCTGAAACTCTCTGTATGGGAGGGACTGGCAAGCACTGAGAAATTGCCCAGTGATTTATGTTGTGAGAACCAAGGCTACACAGGGAGTTGGTAGAAAGGTGCTTGCTCATATTGCCCATGGGGCCATGGATGAGCCTCTGTCATGGTTGAAACTCCATATAAAAGTAGCCCGAAAGCTCGCAACCTCCAAAGAGAACAAGACATCCAGAGGAACTTGGACTGGAAGGAACAAGAGAGGAGAAAAAGAGAAGAACTGTAAAAAATCAATGTGCTTTAAATACTAAAAACTCTGTTCTTTTAATTCTCTGTTTACAGCAGTGGAAAATTCAGATCTGACTTCTAAAAGCAACTCTGTAAAAACACTCGGTCAAGAACCCATTCGTAGTAGTTGTTAAACAAGGCGTTCACTAGCCTTTTCTTATTCTATAAATAAAACTTGGTAGAAGAGATCATGTCCATAAAACGGTTCTTTTCAAACCCTACCCCCTCCCACATGCCCAGGCATGAGCCTTGCTGACAATCCTAGAACCTAGCTTCCCGCTTTTATAACCAGGATAACAGTGACAACCAAATCCTTCCCTCAGGATGAGTAAGGAAATGGACACAGAAATGTCTGTGAGTCCAGATTTTCAAAGTATACAACTGAGCTGTCCCAATACTTTATGAAAACAAAGTTGATGCAGATTTCTTTGTGGATGACCAATCAGTACATTCACTCAGACCTCCAGACTTTTATTTGAATATACAATAAAATGGACAAATCCATTGCACCTTCCATTCGTAAAGTGGAGAGTACAATGGACGTTGGCGTGTGGCTACCCATGGGGAATTGGAATTCATACACAGAGGAGAAGCAGGAGCAGGAGAGGAAATGGAACTGAAAATACAGCTGAAAACAACATTCAGACTGAGAAGCAAAGGAGCCACGAGACACCACACATAAAAGTAGATTAAGCTCAGCAAAGAAGGCCGACTTTAATTTTGTTATATGAAAATATCTGATGGTCTTATGGTTCGATTTCCCTTATAGGATCCCCCTCACACACACCTCCCCCAGCTGTTGAATCAGACTGAATACAGAAATCTGGAAAACAGAAGGAAAGGGGAGCAAGAGAAAAGCTAGTAAAAACAAATGTTACTAATGTATTTTTAAAATTGTTACATCTTTTCATTTTTTCTTTCCTTTACAGACTCGGAAGGCAAACCTGTGGAACAGTTAACAGATCAAAATAGGCCAACTACAAAAGCATAGGCATTGTAATACATATAGAAAGAACACATGATGACAGTGCTTAGGGAAGAAGAACTGGAAAGATTTACTTCAGCTTAAATAATATTATGCTAGACAATGAAATAAGTGACAGCACACACACACATGTCAGAGTTCAGTTATTTTGTGTATCCACTCATGTGGCTGTTTAATATCAATTTCTCATAAATACTTTGGTATCAATTGTTATTTTTTGAACTTCAATAAAAAATTTGTCACTCATTGTGTCCTTGCCTGTACACCCGTCAGAGAGCACCTTCTTCCCCCTGCAGGCGGTACCTAAGACATGGGCCTGGGTGGCTGTGTTTGCTCAGATGTTCTTATCATGTTGGCCTCCATTGGTTGGGCGAGAATAGACACACCTTACTCAAGGAGAACCAATCAGATTTGCTCTGTAAAACAACTGGAACTGAGGAAAAAAGGATGAGTAAGCTGGTGTGTGAGTGGTGGTGATGGTAGTGAACTGGAGAAGGCCACAAAGTTCTGCCTGTGAACTCTGAGCTGGTCATAAGGTCTGGTGTGCACTGGATGTCCTTGGATTTGCTTGGTTTTGTTATTTTTACAATAAATCACAGTGTTACTTTAGCTTAGACTAAATGGGTTTCTGTTTTGTGACACCAGATATGGCCTGAAATTTGAAAGAATAGGATCATATTTTTTTGTCCTCACCCGAGGACATTTTTGCATTTATCTTCAGGAGAGAGAGAGGGAGGAAGAGAGAGTGAGAAACATCAGTATGAGAGAGACACACAGACTGGTTGCCACCCACACGACCCAAACCAGGGCCGGGGACAAACTGCAACTGAGGTACGTGCTCTTAATGGGAACTGAACCCAAGACCCTCCGGTCTGCAGGCCGACGCTCTAACCGCTGAGCAAAACTGGCCAGGGTGAATAGGATCATATTTTTATCTGAATTTTGAAAGAATAGGATAACATTTTTACCTAAATTTTGAAAGAATAAGATAATATGGTTTAAGTAAAAATTAGTCTTTTATTAAAGCAGTTGTAATCAAACCAATATGCTCATATAGTTTTAGGCTAAGAGGACCCTTTACAAATGCCAATTAGGAACTCTTGAAAGCACAGAGATCATGTTAAAAACTGCTGATATCTGCTTTCTCTGTAACTTTAAATAGGTCTTAAGATACAACTTACCTTCTGAAAATTCAGTGAAATTTCAGATGCCGTTACTTTGCTTCTGACTAGTATGATTCAAAACCATGACTAACCTTTGTTTATTTTCAAAGTCAGCACTTCATTTGATGTTATTGTGAAGAAAGCCTAATGTCTGTCTGTGTTAAGGACTTTGGGTGAGGTTTTGTGCCCAAATCCTGCTGTTTCCCCTGCCTCTCTCTGTGGGGCCCTCAACCGAAGGAGCGTGAGCACAAGAACAAGAACTGGGTGGGAAGAGCCTGGTGCTCCACACGCAGCTGGGCACGTGGAGGTTGCCCCTCGATATGCAGGGCTTCGTCGTGGTAAAATCAAGTTAGATTGGAAACCGTGACTCAGACAGAAATCCGAGCAGAGCTTCCTGTCCATGCCCCTGAATCAGGTGTGCCTATCATTTACCAGCGGGCACCAGGTGGAAAAACGAGCAGAGACGACAACCACGAACACACATCACCTTTAAGGCAGTGGCTCTGCTGCTTAGTGAGTGAGGGTCCTCCCAGCAGGGTCAAGCCCTGACCAATCAATCAGCTGCTTCTCCGATAGGTGAACATCTAGGAAGGGGCTAGAGAGAGATGTGGGCAGAGTTCCTTCTCCTTAGGGACACGATGGGAAACATTGAGCCCATCCCCAATGGACTGTACTTTCCAGTATGAACATGAACTATCGTATCTTTGAACCACTATAGGATGCTCTAGGAGAGACTCCCACAGGAGAACAAAGAAAACTGATTTTAATCGCTATACCTACTACCACACTTTTGTCCCAGATTAATATAAAATACAGAATTATACTGGGAGGAGAGAACAATAGTCCCCCACTTATCCACAGTTTCACTTTCTGATGTTTCAGTTACCCATGGTCAACTGTGGTCTGAAAATATAAGAGAAAAATTCCAGAAATAAATAGTTCAGACATTTTAGATTGCGCGCCATTCTGAGTCGCACGATGAAACTCAACCGTCCTGGTCTGTCTCATCAGGAACATGAGTCATCCCGTTTTCCACGGCCCCACCCTGTGTACACAACCCCCATGCCTCCCTTTGTCCCTAGTAGCTTCTCAGTTATCAGATCTACTGCTGGGGAGTCACAATGCTTGTGTTCAAGTAACCCCCGTTTTAGTTAATAATGGCCCAAGTGCAAGAATAGTGATGCCGACACTGTGAACAGGCCCCAGAGAAGCTGCAGAGTGCTTCCTGTAGGTGAAAGGTATGTACAGAGTACAATGCAAGAAGACATTTTGAGAGAGAGAAATTCACATCACTTTTATTACTCCATATTATAATCGTTGTGTTCTATTTTATTGTTTTTAGTATCGTGATTCTTGATTCATGTAATTAATAATCAACGCAGGAAGTCTGCTCAACTCTCAACACGACAGCATTCAGAAAAACATTCCAACCTCCTTATTGCCACACTTCCAGTATATCCTGCTGCAGGTGTAACGGAATGTAAAAATTCTAGATGAGATTTCACTTTTGAGTCTGCAGCGCTTAGGTATACACTTTACATGCGATCGCCTTGCTCTCCTCCTACACTGTCTCATCTGCTCCCAGAAAATCAACAGATTTATACAGAGAAAGGCAGTTGATTGTTTTGCCCCAATACTAATCTATTTTTATTTTTATTTTTTTTAAATGTTCCAAGTTTCAGTTTTTAAGAAACCAATATTGTGATACTGATACTTCTCAAAAAGAAAGCGTAAACTGTTTGGGTTTCATACCCACTTTCCACAGCAGACTTTTATAATGGGGCACTCTGGAGTGGATTCGTGGCCATTTATCATTGTTGTTTGAAGTGCCTCCATCGGGACCGCAGACGCCAGGCATTCTGGCTCTCCAGGTACTGCTCACCGAGTGTTAGGCCTGTTCTTCAGGTTCGAACTTTTTTGAAAGACATGTTAAAATCGACTCCCTTCCTCCTTGGCAGCCTAAAGACATTCTTGATAAAGTTCTAATATATTTGGTTCACATGACAAGCATTTTAACCCTATTAGGATTAGAACATTTTGTTGTTGGTAATCCTCACCTGAGGATAGTTTCCCATTGATTTTTAGACAGAGTGGAAGGGAGGGAGGGAGGGAGGGAGGAAGGGAGGGAGGGAGGGAGGGAGGGAGAGAGAGAGAGAGAGAGAGAGAGACATCGATGTGAGAGAGACACATCGATTGGTTGCCTCCTGCATGACCCTGACTGAGTGGGGGATTGAACCTGCAACCCGGATACGTGCCCTTGACCTGAATCAAACAAGTGAACATTTTATTCGCTGGCCAATGTTCTAACTGCTGAGCCAACCCAGCCAGGGCAGAAAATGTTTATTTTTAATCATAATCCAAACTTCTTAAAAACTACATTTTCATATTATACTTAAAATCTAAGAAGAAATGTGCCTTTGTAACAAATTACAGTATTATTATCTTTTTCAAGGCTTTTTTAAATGTGTGGCAGTACCTCTGTATTTGTATAAGAACTGATCAAACTAATTAGTTTGTAGTCCTAGGTCACTCTTCCTGGCTGGTCAGGACGGTGGCTGTTCCCTGGGATGTACAGCCCGTCACTGATCTCTGACCTCTGTGCTAACTGTGCCCTCCAGAGCACCCAGATGTTTCGCTTGCCTCTCCTACACATGAAATTAGTACGGAAATAGCCCCTTGAAATAGAGATGTTGGAGTGGTCTTAAATTATTCAAGATGTTTATTACTAATGAATGCACTCTGTGAGTCCTTAACCACGGTGTCGGTTCAATGTCACTTTTTGCATGTAATTGCTGCGCAGTCGGGACAAGACGTCCACTGTCCTTAGGAATGCCACATCTGGAAAGCTGTTATTACTCAGCTTTCCCTCTTCCCAAATTGCTCAGACGTTTATGCAGAATGTTTGACTAAAATGCTTCTCCAAGAAAGCTAAGAAAGGTAAGGACCTGGTGTGGAGACAGAGATTGTGTCTCCAGCCGTACTGTCGAAGGGACAGGGGCTGGCTCCTTCTGCACCTACTGGGGACTGCAGGAGGAGCTCAGGGGACCATTTCTACACCAAGAAGAGTTCTTGCCTGAGTTCACGTAGTAAAACTTTCAAAACAAATTTTACTTGAATATATTTGAAACCTTTCTGGTTTTGACAAATCTGCAATCACTATTGCGATTATATTTATAAAGAACTAATGTAGCCAGTTTTTGCTTTAGTTTCTTTGTAAAATATTATTTATCTGGCCAATAATTTGTCCTTAATTCATTCATTAGAAGGTGTGGGGGGTTCTATTTAAATTTAATTATCATGTAACATTTAAAAATAGTTTTCAACTGTTCACATTAAGAAATGTCTTTTTCTAAGAACTGCATAATGTTTCTTATAGCGTAGCCCCCTCTTTTTGTTAAAAGCAAACATATATATGTATATACATACATATATTGAGTTTGAACAATAGTTGCAATGTAAAACAACAGGTAGTTAATTTATTACTCTTTTTAAAATGAAATATTAACTAAATTCTATATATAGAATTGTGTAATAAGGTTTTAAATGGGTATAGTACTTGTCAGAAATTGAATTTGTAGAATTGTTCAGCATAGTGATATTAGAAAATTAAGCATTGAGAGCTTCAAATTTTGTCCTTCAGAATTCAACTAAAATTACATTTTCTTGAAGGGAGAATCCAGTTCACTCTTAAGATTGTAATGCCTCAAAAGTTCTAAGTCGTTACGGTGTTAGCTCCGGGAGCTGTTTTCAGTTTCTGAGCTAGAGCTTTCAATTCTCAGAAGTGGGAGAAGTGGAAGGTTCTAGCCCCGTGTTCCTTATTTCCATCCTCCCAAGAGACTGCAGCATCTTCCTAAACACCTCACATCTTTGTTCCAGAGGCGAAATGATGTTTCGTTGCCTTTGTTCCCGCCCCCCCCCCCCCCCCATTCTTCACTGCACAACCTCTGCTTAAAATATTGGTTCATTTTCAGTTAGGAGGACCTCTTACCACCTCCTTCCCAAGAAATTCCTGAAATGGACCCAGATAAACAAGGTGAGTATTTTTGTCAAGTTTCTGAGCACAGTTTGTAGACAAAAAAATTTAGGCACAGATGTTTGTATTTGCAGACTTCAGAATTGCGGCAGCGTAGACATTTGGCAAATTTGGGGCTGAAAAAGAAACTATTGGGTGATGTAAAAGACTTTTTCCTCTAAACAGAAATTCATATTTAAGAATACTTGGCTTATTGTCTGCAAAGCACCCAATAATTTAACAAAATACTTGGTCTCAATATAATTACATTTTAATTATAAGAAGTGACTTATTTTTATTCTTGTCATTTACTGTTAAAATGACATCGCTGTGGAAATTCTCATGTCAGAGGTTAAGTTCACAGTACTGTGTGGGCCCGAAGCTGGGAGGAGGATCTCACAGCTGTCATTAGATGAATATCTGGTTATGGGATGCGGGGGAACCAATTCCCCTTTCTTCTAACATCTTTGAAGGCCAGCATGGGCCCAGGACTGGTCTAGAACATTGTTGTTGCTGGATCTAGCTGCAGCCTTATTCCCCCACCTAAAATCTAGATCGCTAACTTTACTTGTTCTATATCAAATTCTACAATAACTCAAGTTATTTATCTAACACAACATTATGAGTAATTCAAATTATCTTTGGGTTTCCCATATTTAGAACCTCATGTTGATAAGCTCAACACAGAATAGTAGCTAATGCATTCAAATTCCAGTTTTCTCTCCCTAAAGGTGTGTTTTTCAGTGTGTGTCAGAATCACCTGCAGGGTTTGGTGAAATGCTGGGCTTCACCTCCGGCGTTTGTGCCTCAGTGGGTCCAGGGGGGTCCCAGAATGTGCATTTCTAAGAGGTTCAGGGCGATACTGATGCTGCTCGCCTGGGGCCGCACGGGGACACCCACTGGCCTACACTCTCTATTTCTGGACCATCAAACTAGACCATGGACAGTTGAAAGAGATTGTATTATATTCTTAATATTTATAGAAAATGATGCATATTGATTTGGCTAAACAAAATTAAGAATCATTTAAAGAGAAACACGTTTCCCGGTCAAAATGCTTCCATGAACAAGACCATACGTGGCTCGTATTATTTCTTTGAGCATCTAAAAGCTATGAACAGGGGGATCCTGTTCGTAGCTTTGGGCCGGATATATGCAGCAATTTGCCGTTTCTTGACTCCCCCCTCCCCGATCAGGGGAAACAAAACAAAGAGCCTTGGGGAAGCAGGGCTGGCGGAGAACCCCGGGGCGCCCGGTCCTTCTCCGCGGGATCGCAGCTGGCCCTGTTCCGCTGCGTCACTTCGTCAGACGACGCTGCAGAACACAGTCTGACGGCAGGGTGCCGGCCAGATGGCAGGGCCGCCGGAACCGCTCCTCGCCTGGCAGCATCTGGGCACCTGCAGAAGCCCTGCTTTGCTGATTCTCTGTATTCATTTGCTACATCTGAGAGGAGCCAGGGCAAAACAATGGACCAGTTTCCAGGAGGAAAAAAAAAATGTTGGGCATTACACTGTTGTAAATAATTTCCAGACTCTTATCTTTATTCTCAGTTTGTTTTACTTCGGACATAGGGCAGACCTCTGACTTCTCCCGAACTTTAACTTTGGACCCTTGTCTGAAAAGGAAGTGGTATTTTTAAATAAGGACATATTAAATGACAAAAGACTTAGAACAAATTGTCATTTTTGGTATGGGTGTACCTGTTCACAAAAGAAAAGAAAATGTGGAGGTTTTTAAACAAGATTGCTTGTTTTGGTGGCATTTTTAGGTGGGTGCTTCAACTCCTAATTATATATTAATCACTGACTTCAATGTGTGTTCAGGGAGAGCCCTTTGGTGTGCTCTAACTCCTCAAAGATGGGTCTGAGCGGGTTCCGGGGTTCAACATAGTGCCTGGCACTCGGTACCCACATGTGTAACAGATAGGACTTGACCCCACAACATCCAAGGGCAAGGCATCCTTTCCCAACCAATGTAAAGTCACTGTTGCCTGATGTGAAATTTACATCGAGTGGAGTCTGGGAGGAAGAATCCCTTTGAGACAGACAAAAACCTCGAAGGTTTTTATCCTGAACATCTGGCCTGAAGTATTCAGAACATCTGGTCTGAAATGCCATCATGATCCCCCCCCTTGCTATGCTTTTTGTCTTTGGCTTTGGGGTCCACTTGAAGACATGGAACTACCTGTCAAGACTGGACACACAAATCCTTGCCAAGCCTAGTGTCTGGTCTCCATGGTTACCCCATGCAGCCACTCAAGGAACTGCTTAGAAGGGCAACCCTAGAAACAGCTCCCCACACCCCAACTCCAGACAGACCTCTCCAACTTCCTGTCCAGGCATCAGCTCCTCCCTCCTACCCCCCCAAAAAAACCAGAGTCATAGCCAGGACAATGCTGAAATAAAGATTGGATTTCAAAGGCAAGGGGGAGTCCAGAATGTATGTATGGGTCAGGGAGGAGGAGCCAGGAGATTTAACGAGATTGAGGATTCAGAAAGTGGGAGATCCAATGACTCTCTCAGAGGGAACCTGTACCTCTGGCCACCCAGCATCCATTCACCTTTCTCCTGGTGAAACCAGTGCACCTATTTTTGCTTCACAAAAACAACTCACTCTTTATTTTAGTCCACGAAATTCTAGCAGTGTTGATTCCAACTCTCCCATTTCCGTGGGTGGCATTAATTATTTGATGGGCCATTTATACTGAGGCCTGAGTGGGGGTGGCTTCAGGGTGGCCCCTCACACACAAAGAAGCTGTTAAATCTCTCAAAGGAGTAGAAAGAGCGTAGGCCTTGGAACACACACAGGAATGGACGTGCAAACTTTGCCTGTTTATTCTTTCATTCTCCCATTGCTGCAAGAACAAGAAAGTGAGTAGTATCGCCATAAATAATCCTGCTGCGTAGGTTTACGCCAGTAAAATCCACTGAGCAGTCCAGTATTCGTTTTTCTTAGGGCCTGCTCAGCAAAAGCTAAACAGGTGGCTGTGTTTCTAGTTACAGACATTTCTCGAGTACACATACAGCTCACTCCCAATTTCCTGAATTTTATGGGGAATCAGCTGACATTAAATTTGAAAATAGTTTTATCCTCAAGACATCGTGCCTTCAGCATAATAAATACAAGGAAGTCTTAGGCTTAAAGCTGGCTTGCGTATTTTAAAACCTTGTCTCCAAGTGAACATTACACGAATAAACTCTTACTTCATTGAGATTTGTCATCACGAGGTATACCAGAGATGCACAGTGGCTTGGCAGTTCTTTCCAAAGTTCGTGAGTGATTTCCTCTCTCCCTTCCTGCTGTAACAATTCCAGATCTTCACCATTCTTTACGTGTTCTACTCTGCCATCTCCTCTCTGCTCACTCCAAGAGCACTTGTCCCCGGCTTCATAAAGAAAACAGAAGGCCTCAGGCACACACTTCCCACACCCACCATCATATCCTTTTAGTCTCTCAGGGAGAGGGATGGGCTTCTTGCCAAAGCTATTTCCTTCACCTGTGCGTCTTCCCCATCCATTGTCTCTACCTCAGGGATCTCATCCATTAGCAATATTTCAGTTGCTTGTGTTAGAAAAATCAACTCAAAGGGGCTTTATCATCTTCTATAATTAATTACCCAAGGGAAGACTAGCTTGCTCTGAGCCCAGACGTGTAACTAGGATGTGGTTTCTTTCCATTGCCAAGTTGATCTCTGCTCTCCTTGTGTGCTAGTTTCATTCTCAAGCTACATACCCTGACAAGACAGTAATTGCTGCTCCATTCTATGATTGCAAGTTCAAGTCAACAGGAAAAAAAATTTTTCTTCCCGGGTAACTTGAACAAAGGGTCCTTGATTCAAGTTCCACTGCTATATTCTTTGGCTATGTGTCCATGTCTAAAGAGGGCAATGATGCACCCAGTGATTGGCTAGGCCTGGGCCACGTGACCCCAAGGAAATTGGCGAGTTGGAGTTAACACTACTACAACGTCATGGACTAAGATGGGGGGGGGGGGGTCACCAGAAGAAAGGTGAATGGATGGATGCTGGGTGGCTAAGGGAACAGGTTTCCGATGAAAGGAACTTTGTTATATCTAATACTATCTGAATTCTCAACCTCATTCTTTCTTCTGGCTCTTTCTCTCTGACACACACATATGTTCTGGAATCTTTCTTGAAAAACAATTCTGATTTTATGTGTTGTTCTAGCTAAATGGCTCTTTTGTCTTTCCTTTCAATTAAGGGTTTTAAAATAGTGTCCTTTTTTTAAGTTTTTGCTTTACCTTACATTCATTGGTTGATCCCATGCAGTTTGATTTTGACCTTCATGGCCACACGAAAATTTCTCTTGCAAAGCCTTCAATAATCAAGTTAATCATAAAAAACAGAGGATATATTCACCCTTTCATTGCTCTCCTTCTGGCTTCCAGATAGCGAAGTATTGGCTTGTCTCTACTGCCTGAAACTCACCTTCCTTGGCCTTTTTACCATTGATTGTTATCCTCTGGTTTCTTTGGCTTTCCCATCTCATTGTCTTAAGTTTCTCTTCCCCCTCTGTTACTTAAATAATTATGTGCGTTAGGGGTTCTATTACTTAGCCTAATTTTCTCTTCACTTACAGCACTCTACTTAGACAATCTAACAGACGGACATGGTTTTGCCCAAACCCAACACTAATGACTAAATCCCAAATAGTGGCCCTGACCTCCAGACACATAATCAAAAGTTGGGGCAAGATCCTTAATGAACTCACATCAGCCTACATTCTGTCCTCTCTCCCCAAAGTCTCTCTTACACCTTCCAGCCCCTAATGACCTCTGCAATCTTCGTACCCTCGTGCCTTTGCACATGCTCTTCCCTATACTTGTAACATCATTCCCCCAAACCCTTCTTTCCACTTAGTCCCCTGAAAATGTCCTACTTCTCCTTCAGGGGCCAGCTTTCACTTCACCTCCCCTAAGAAATCTTCAGTATGCGCCCGACCAGTGTGGCTCAGTGGATTGAGCGTCATCCCATGGACTGAGAGGTCCCGGTTCGATTCCTATTGAGGCATGTGTCTGGGTTGTGAGCTCGATCCCCAGTGGAGAACTTGCAGAAAGTGGCCAATCGATGTTTCTCTCTCACATCATTGTTTCTCTCTCTCTCTCTCTCTCTCTCTCTTCCTCTCTTAAAATAAGTCAATAAAAAATATTTGATAAAAAAATTAAAAAAAAGAAATCTTCAGTATGCATCCCTCCATGCTTAGGCCAGGGAGCTTGTCTCTCTCTTGACACTGAGTACTCCTGTTTCACCTTAATGTCCTCAGTACCCAGCATAGTGTCTGAGACCTAATGTGCATGCAAATCTTGGGTGGTGTGTGTGCGTGTGTGTGTGTGTGTGTATGATTAATGAATAAATTAAAGATCAATAGCTATTTTATGTACAAACTTCTCTGGAAGCAAGGCCTGGCACATTGTAGAAACTTAAGAGATATTTCCTATGCTTATAGTTTTGAGACTTTTAATATAAGTCATATGAACTCAGTGGTCAATGGCATTCTTTTAGATTTTACTTTTTCTAGAAATGAAGACTGATCATTTCAGTCTTATGCAACAATAAGCTCTGTTGTGAGGTTGTTATAAGTCTCTTAAACTAAATCAAAATCAAATTTGGAGGGTCAAGGAAACAAAGTTAAATTGTGGCTACTCAGAGGAAGATAGGTGATTTAGTAAGTATATTATCTACATTGTCTTATTTAAACATGCAAATACCCTATATAGACTGTATCATAATCCCTATTTATCTGATGAAGAACCTGAAGATCAAAAAGTAAACTAATTCCCCCAAAGAAAAAAGGAATTGGGTCTGGAGCTTTCTCTTTTCCTCCACACTGTGAAATGTGTGAATGAACATTCAGTGCCTGACGAGCCCTCAGGAACCCTAGCCATCGTTGTGGTGATGTTGGTAGTAGAAGCCCTCAAAAGAAGATACATTAATAATTCTTTTTATTATAAAAATGGCATATGCTCTTTATTGAAAATTTACATAATATCAACAAGTAGAAAGAAAATAACTTTGATCATTAACAATTCAAGCACCCAGAGAGAGCTACTATTCCATCTCGGAGGACGCCACTAGAATTAAGCTCCACGTGGCAGGGATTTTTATCTGTTTTGTTAACTGCTATATTTCAAGGGCCCGGAATCATGCCAAGGCCATATAGTAAAACCTCAATAAATATTTTCTAGATGAATGACTGGAAGGAGAGCTTTGGAGTTCTTTTCTATATATGTGTAAATACATGTGTGTATATATAACAAGAATATATTTTAAAAATTGAGCTTACATTTTACACAGATTATTTTATTTTATTTGTTTAGTAAAGCTGTTTCCTTTTTATATAAAAACATGGACAGATTCATGGAGGAATATTCACTTTTGGTGGATTCCTTAGTTTGGCAGACTCTGAAGGTAAGTCTAAGGTCCCCCGCAGCCTAGGATTCTGTAGATCATTAGTATTTGTTCCCAGATAGGAAGGAGAGAAAAATAAAGTGGGGCTACACGATCATAGGACTGACTCCCTTCCAGGCTGTGGGATTTATCCAATGAGATGGTCATTTATTCATGTTATTTCATGTTTTCTTTACAGATGCTCTTAATAGTATTGAGAATTCCATTTATAGAACAGCCTTCAAATTACGATCTGTGCAAACCATGTGTCAACGTAAGTAGAACTCTCTGAAATCCTTGAAATAATCTGATCCAGCTGTGCGGTGTAAATTCACAAAGAAAACAAAAACTCGTGTGAGTGACTGTGGGACTCCAGAAGGCTGGATCTGTGCGGTTGCTCCATTTGTAACAGAGAGGATGGAGGGGGAGGGGCGCCATGTGTTCAACCTCAAGGGTAGCTTCACTGGCTGAAATAGAAAGAAAATGATTTTTGGATACAGTTTTTTTTTTGTTTTTTGTTTTCCTATTTGGTTTCTGGAAAAAAAAATGTGGTGTCCTTTTAAGGATACCAATATTAACACAAAATAAAATTACAAAGTAAGTTAGTTTAAAACCTGTACTTGGAGATGTAAGTTTTAATATTTAAATTTCTTCTACCACATAAGAGTTTCATTTTCAAGTTGTACTTCTTATCTCTCTGAACATGCAAAAGTAGGTTCAGATGAATAATCCTTGGGCCATAAATTTTAAAACAATGTTGACAATTCCCTGCAAACTGCTCTTTTGTGTTAAACTTTTATCTAATTGAATGTAATGGTTTTCTTTTCCTATACTGTTATCTAAGCAAAATTAAGTAAATACTGTAAAAACATTTATCCTGTAAAAATTCTCCAACCTGAAATAAATTAGGTCCTGGCTGTACACAACAGGCATTCAGCATAACTAAACCTATGCCTTCTAATAAGTTCTGTATTACATTTTTAAAAATTACTTTATGTGATATGACATGACAGTATCATATCAGACTTAAAGGAAGCTGTGTTATATATATAACATTTTTCCTAAAGGTTGAATGTTTTTATATTTTGCTTTCTGCCTTATTAGTTGTGCAGATCAATGATTTCAAAGTGTGCTTCACAGCATGTGCATGGGTGTGTAAAGGACACGAAGGGTTAGCAGGGTGGGAAAAGTAGGACAGGCAAGCCAGGAAAATTCAAAAACCATCTCCTCAACCAGAGCAGCTCCGTCTTTCTCTATTTTCCACACTGCCTTTCTGTGTAAGGGCCCTTTGCAGCAGGGATTCTTGACTTAAAAAAAAAAAAAATCACTGATGTAGACAAATAAACTCACTTGTAACTAGTATTTGTTATTCCAGGGATCAACAAAAGGCAAATATATCCTCAGTTCCGCTATTTTCCTGGAGAATTTCTCCTATTATAGAAAGTTAGGAGCAAATGTTTATAGTAATTTAAAATGTACCTATTTTGTACTTTTTATTCTTCTTGACATCAGAAACAGCAAATAGTTCTACCTAAAGAAAGATATCCAAATAAAAAATTGAAAGCAAAAATGTCCCATCCACAGAGACAAAGCATGCCATGAGTTCCAGGCGGCAGGATCTGGGGAGCATCGCTGCATAAATCTCGTGGTGAGATTAATGGACAGCAGTATTATCTGCTTTGCTGTAATACAGAACTCTCAGCAGAAGTCACGGGCGTCCCGTGTGCAGTGCAGCAGGCCGAGGTGATAGGTTTTGCGATTGAGTAACGATAAGAGATTTGGCAGCCTGCAGCCAGGTTTTTATTAAAGTCACATCCTGGAAACTACTCCTCACTTCTTTAGACTCTCCCCTGAAAAGCAGCACCAGAGAACAAATAAAAAATTTTATTATACTTGCTAGATTTCTTATCTGCAAGATTGATTTACGAAGTACAGAAAAGCACAGGGTTTTATCATTTCACAGGCTGAAGCATCTTAAATGCCAGGAGCTCTTGGTGCCCCTGACATCCCCATCTCTCAGATGATACAGTTGGGTGTTTATTAATTTTGTCTGTCATCCTCCGTCTGTAAGAAGCCATAGGGTTAGTTCTATTTCGTTCTTCCTTGTATTCATTGCCTTGTAAAATGTTTAGGAGGTGGTAAAAATATACAGAAAATAAACCATTATTTTTTATAAGCAACTTTGGTGTTATTTAGTGCCTTCCTCAGATAATAATATGAATGGATCCAAAATCAAAAACAAACAAATAAAAAATATTACTGCAGCAATGGTGGGACCTTAAGAGTGATAGTAAATTCAGCAACTGCTCTGCCATGACTCAGTAGCTCTCAGTTGGTTAGATCCTTGACCTAAAATGCCAAGGTTGCAGGTTCAAATCCCAATCAGGGCACATACAAGAATCAACTAATGAATGCATAAATAAGTGGAACAACAAATCAATGTCTGTCTCTCTTGCTCTCTCCCTAAAAATCAATCAATCAATAATTTAAACAATTATTTAAACTTGTATCAAGATCACCGGGGGGGGGGGGGGGGTTGTTTGCTTCTTTTTTGTTAATCTTTACCTGAAGATATTTTTTCCATTGATTTTTTTTTCTTTTTAGAGAGAGTGGAAGGGAGGGAGGGAAGTGGAGAGAGAGAAATACTGATGTGAGAGAGACATAAGGGATCAAACCTGCAACCCAGGTACGTGCCCTTGACCAAGAATCGAACCTGAGACCCTTCAGTGCACCAGCTGACCCTCTAACCACTGAACCACACCAGCCAGGGCAAGATCATTGGGTTTTTTAAACAAAGGCAATTATACATTGACACACAGTATTCTTCTAAAGCTAGGTTGGAGACTGGAAAAACAATATTTAAACATGAAAAGCAAATTTGCTCAATCAACTTAAAGAATATAAAAATGTTTTCACCAACCTTTCACCAGGGTCCTAAATTTTTCAAGTTTCTCACTTTTTCTCCTTTCAATCTCTTTCTATAAGGCGCCATCCTAGAGGTTATACTGTAACAATATCATAACTGTGCTTCACTAACAGAGCACTTTTCCCAAATCACACTGGCTGTCAGGATAGTAACGCCTGAATTACGCCCCAGAGATATGTATCCAAATAGTGGTCATATCTAATTTTCTTTAGAGGAAATGGTTGCCATAAAAAAAAAAATCTGGCCCTGGCCGGTTTGGCTCAGCGGTTAGAGCGTCCACCTGCGGTCCGGAGAGACCCAGGTTCGGTTCCCGCTAAGGGCACGTACCTCGGTTGCAGTTTGTCCCCGGCCCTGGTTGGTCGTGCGGGTGGCAGCCACTCGATGTGTCCCTTCCACATCGATGTTTCCCTCTCTCTCTCTTCCTCTCTCTCCCTCCCACTCTATCTGTACAAAAAAATGGAAAAATGTCCTCGGGTGAGGATAAAAAAAAAAAAAAATCTGAAATACGCGGCAACGTTTGCTGTATTTGAAGCCTTTTGTTCCCATTAGAAGATCAGACTCAACTCTCCGTTTGCTTTCTACAGTGGACTTGATTGACAGTTCTCAGATTCAGGACGTCCTACTACGTGGAAGTTTCTGGGAAGCGAGACAGAGCCCCCTGTCTGTGCAGCATCTTTTTCAGGCCCTCCAGGAGCTGTTTCAGAGGGTCAGGGAAAAGCCAGGGCACACGCATCCCAGAGCTGCGGAACTCACTCTGAGCCTTCTCACAACGCTGTATGACAGGTGAGGGTGTAGAGGTCACACTATGACCTCAAGGGCGGTGTTTGGTTGCCGCTGGTCATTGACCATTTGGAGTTGTCTAATGTTCGCTGATGGATATATAAATGGCTTTTTTGTTTTCCACGCATGTATTACTCATTCAGGAGGGGGACGAAAAAGACATGCTTATCAGCTTTACTGACATAAATGACTCTGGATTGAAAAAAGGGAAGAAATTCCACATTACTTATCTCTCATACAAACTCATTTCCGCTCTAGAGACCATGCACACCCTCTGCTGTGGCAATTACACATCCATGCATGTGAAACGTGCCTTTTGCCCTTCAGTCCTTAGTAGCTTATTTCCTTGCTTCTTTCTTTGTAACCAAGGATTAGTTTTTGTTGTTTCTTAAGTGGAGCAAGGTTGAATAACCTGTGTATGGATGGCTGACCTATTGTCTTAGTCTGTTTGGGCCACTACAACAACAATACCATAAACCAGGTGGCCTAAACCACGGACACTCATTTCTCATAGTTCTGGAGGCTGGGAAGTCCAAGGTCAAAGTGCCAGCCTGCGTCTGGTGAGGGCCTGCTTCCTGGTTCATAGGGGATCCTCTACTCCCTCAGGTGGCAAAGGGGGCAAGGGAGTGCTCTGAGGTTTCTTTGATAAGAGCACTAATCCAATTCAGAAGGGCTCTGTCTTTGTGATCTAATCATTTCCCAAAGTCCTACCTCCAAATGCCATCACACTGGGGGTTAGGAATTCAACATATGAATTTGGGGCAGGGTGACAAAAACAATCAGTTCATTGCACCTACAAACCAGTTTAGACCATGTCAAAGGCTTGATTACGCATGTCCTGGAGTCAGCGGTGTGTGCATGCGTGGATGTGTGTTTCTCTGTGTACCATTCTTCTATCTCACTCATTCCGTTTACCTTACATGGTCGTGACCCAGCAAGCCTCATCCTTTAGAACGGACTTTTAAAAATTCATAGTGAATGTGATACACTTGGAAAGTGCAGAACAGAGTAAAGAAGAACTATCACCCAAAAGCCTACCTCGCAGAGGCAAGCACAGTTTAACCATATGGCAAATCCCTTACCGTGTTTCCTTTTCTAGTTCTGTATTTATTTTTAATTGCACATGATGTATAAACATGTTCCCAAGTTACATTTTCACGATTACAGCCTTCTTAAACATTAAACTTTGACTATCATTTCTGATATTACTGCCTGCTTCTAACAGTCCTCTTATTCTTTTTTAAATCCTCATCCAATGATGTTTTTCAATTGATTTTTAGGTAGAGTAGAAGGGAGGGAGGGAGAGAGAGACATAGATAGAGAAACATCGATGGGTTGCCTCCCGCATGACCCAGCCAGGAGCAGGGATCAAACCTGCAACCCAGGTATGTGCCCTTGACTGGGAATCAAACTCACAACTCTTCTGCCCAACACTTTAGTTACCGAGCCACACCAGCCAGGGCTCCTTTTGCTTCTAATACATCGTTCTGTAGGTGTGGATCCTGCACAGCTGGGGGGCCAAGGATGCGTAGGCTGTAGGTGAGGGTCTGTGAACTGGTGGATCTCTTTAAATATAAATGTTTGCTCCTTTCCCCTGCCTTCCGGTCCTTGTCGCTGTTGTTTGGTTTCCAGACCCGTGAGCCCTGAGGAAGTGAGACTACCTGCTCTGTGAGGACAGGGTGGACCCTGTGTCCCCAGTGCCCAGCACAGTGCTGAGCAAAGAGGAGGCACTCAATCAATATTAGCTGGACACATGAATGAATGAATGAATGAATGAATGAATGAATGATGGATATTTTAATTAAATTATTAGTCTTGTCAAATTCTAGATAAAGAAAAACAAACCGTGAAAAGCTTGAACTTGTTAACGTCCATTAGTGGTTAACGTTTTTTATAAACCACTTCACCAAGAACGACGCCGCCTTTCCCATTCTTGTCCCTGTGTTTTGTTGCTATGCAGCACGGGAACTGGTTTTCTCCAGCTTGCTCCTGCAGCCGCTGCCCTGATTGCCCTCTCGGGGGACAGTCCTCTTACCAAATACAGAGGTAAGAGACGCAGGAGTTTTGAGTGTCTGAAATGCAGTGGCGTCCCAGTCCCCAACACATTGCCTTCCTCCTCACTCCGCTATCCTGGCCACGTGGCTCCTGTTGGGCATCTACTCAGCACGACTTGGAACTTTTTAAGATGTTAATCTGTGCTTTCTACTTATTCACTACTTGGTTATACTTGGTATTCATTTGTGTAGGGATTATTCAGACACCCAGTGGTTATTCTTCTAAAGGCTGGGACCCTCCTCACATTGCTATTTACCAACCTCTTGGTCTTCATCATCAATGTGCTGAATTATCAAGGGTTTGAAAAGTGAACTGGGTTTTCAGAAGTTATCAAATTATCTAGCTTGGGAAGCCTTCAAAATAGAAAGCAAAGAGTCAAGAAAAGAACTTTCCTTTTTCTCCCCCCTTCATACCCACAAATGCACTGTTTAGAATTCAAAGCACATACTCTTCAAAGATACATTGCAAGAATTTAATTTAAAGATTTCCTTTCCCCCTTCTGTGTCTAGCTCTCTTTCAGCTCTACGCAGCAAATAACAGGGGAGGTTATGATGCCGGGGCACGCATGACGCGAAGGGTTTTGAGAAACCTACTAACAGATCTACAGCAGGTAAATCTCTAGTGCTTAAGAATTCTACATTTGTTCCAGCTATTAGCCACATTTCTTATTAAAGGATCTGATTTTTTACAGTGTCGATTCTACCTCCATAGAATTCTCCATGCAGCTCCTCTGCTCTAGGGCTGCTGCTGTTGTCTGAGTACAAGCCTGATCTACTGCAATCACTTCCTAACTGGTCTCCCCAACTCAAGCCTCTCCTCTCTCCAACTCTCCCCCCGCCCTGCAGCCGGTGACTTTTCCAAATGCACACGTCACCCTCATGCCTAAAATTCTTCATTGGCCATTCAAGTCTGTAGAATAGAGCCTAAACTCCTCAGCATCATAAGCAAAGCTTTCAGAGTTGGAATCAATCCTTCTCTTTTCAAAGAGAGGTAGAATCATGATTCTCATACAAATATAAAATAAACATATGTCCAAACATTTATTTAATAAGAGGTGGTGCTGGTAAAATGTTACAGCTAGTTGAAAGAAAGAACCAAAAAACAGACACACTGAGAGATTAGGAATCTTAAAATGAATTGGCTTTTGGGGGAAAAGGGAGAGTTGTTCTTCATCCAAAACAGAATTTATCTACAATTCTTATAGATAAGAATTATTTGCATTTAGATCAGTTTTCTAAAAGTTCATTTTAATCTCTACAGAGTTGTAAAATAAGCTAGCAAAGACAATGATACATATCTCTAAAGGCTCAAATAATCCCCATTGAAAAGATAACTAGTGGTTTCTTTTTGCTTATTCCATAGTGTTTAATTTTCTTTACATTCCTTACACTCATTTCGCACCTGCATTTCAAAATCTATGCTGTGCTGCATGCGCCAAGTTCCCCATCTATCTGCATAGCTGCCTATCCTTCCACTTGACAGTACTGCTCATCTTCCCAGATCATTCAAATATTACTCATCTCCTCACTAAAACCTTCTTTAACTCCCTTTGTATACATTTGTTATAGTACTTGTCAAGTTTTTGTCATGATTATTACCTAGACATATGTTTTCCCCACTAGATTGCTCTTCAAACTCAGGATTATATCTCATTCATGTTTATTTCTCCAAAGATTTGAAAAGTGCCTGGTAGTTAGGCCTTCAACTAATGCTTAATGAAATGCAATTCAGAATATTCAAATAGGTAAGATTTCCATGATTTCCTGTGCTTTAAGATGTGGAAATTTAATATTGTTGTTATCTTTACCAGACAAGGGAATTTAACCTCCTTAAAGAAAATATGTTACTTAAACGTTACAATTTTGTGAAATGTTGTAACCAAGCAAAGAATTTCTGCAAATAGATAAGCAGGCTCTGGATTGCCTTCTGTGTAAGTGGATGTCATCCCACCGTACCTTTTACCCATTTAGAGGATGTCCCTGTTCTTTGTCCAGCTTCTACAAAATCCCCACACTACGTTTTCTGCACAGGTGAAGTCATAACTTTCTGTCTTTTTTCTCCTGGGTCTAGGCTGTTAGGGAGGGAAAAAATAATCTTTTCCTCTACCCATCTTAGGTTTTCTGGCTGAAACCCTGTAAATTGGATTAACAAGAGAAAAACAAACAAATTTATTAACATGGGCATGGGAGCACCCAGTGATGAGTAACTCAAAGAAGTAGTTAGAACTCAGGCTTTCATACCACCTTAAGCTAAACAAAAGAAAAGAGGTTCTGAGCTTCCGAGTTAGGGAAGCAAATTATGAGAAGGTGAACAAGGGTGGGTTAATAAGGTTTGTTATTTAGGTTTAAGTCTGATCCTTCTCCATGAATAAGTGTTGATAAGAGTTAACCTCTTGCCCTGGCTGGTTTGGCTCAGCAGTTGGGATGTTGGCCCATGGACCAAGCGAGTTCGACCAGTCAGGGGCACGTACCTTGGTTGCAGTTGGGTCCCCGGCCTGGTCGGGTTGTTCAGGAGGCAACCAATCAATGTCTGTCTCATATCGATGTTTCTCTCTCTCTCTCTCTCTCTCCCCCCCCTCCCTCCCTTCCTACTTCTCCCTCCCACTCTATGTGAAGATAAATGAAAAAATATCCTCAGGTGAGGATTAAAAAAAAAAAAAAAGTGTTATTCTCTTGCTGTTAGGGAGGAGACATCTTTGGCACATGGAAATTTCCTTTATAACTGTACATTTTCTTTACAACAGGAAAACTTGTACCCTATTTTTAGAGCTTTTCTTGCATCTACTGTTTCTCAATGGCCTTTAGCTCAAGTAACTCATATGCCAAAGAGACATATTTTCATGGGACATATTTCAGTACTCTTTGGGACCAGAGATTCTGAACTGGAGATAGTCGTGTTGGGGGTGGGGAGTGGGTATGAAGGAAGGTCATCAAACACTGGGACCAAGAATATGATCTGGAAAAAATCTATTCGAAATTACCTCTGCTTTGCTTTGGCCTTAATATTAACATTTTATGTTCTTATTGATCATAATAACTAATGTTTAACTTATTCTGGAAATTTTAAACAACATTTAAAATGTTCATATTTCTTTTTTTTTTTTTTATCCTCACCCGAGGACATTTTTCCATTTTTTGTACAGATAGAGTGGGAGGAAGAGAGAGGAAGAGAGAGAGAGGGAAACATCGATGTGAAAGGGACACATCGAGTGGCTGCCACCCGCTCGACCAACCAGGGCCGGGGACAAACTGCAACCGAGGTACATGCCCTTAGCGGGAACCGAACCCGGGTCTCTCCAGACCGCAGGCGGACGCTCCAACCGCTGAGCCAAACCGGCCAGGGCGAGATGTTCATATTTCTTAAAAGAGTGATTTTTAAAAATAAATTAGTAAGGTTGAAACATCAGACAACGTTATTTTAGGGCTGTCTGTTCTGGTGGTTGTGGCGCACATGGATCTCATGGCCTTTTCCGCGGACTCCCGGGCATGTCTCGGGGAATTACTGCTTCGACAATCCCTGCACCCAGGACTCACACTGGTCGGGCCAGAGAGAGTGGGACGTCTGTCCACTCATACAATCAGACTTCTAAGACTGGCGTGTGTAGGTGGATTTGATGGAAGAAGATGGACTGAGGGGCATTTTGCTCCTCCTGTAGAGATCCTGTGCTTGCCTCCTGATTACTACAGCTGGCCCCAGGCTAACACCCATCCAGCGGGCCTACCAATCTGCCCTGTTTCAGGCTGCACTGAGGTCAGTGAGCTGCAGAAATGGCAGCTTCTGCAGAGCTCTGTCCCCCCCCCCCCATTATTATGCTCCTGAGAAAGCTATTAGGAAGGCGGAAATTTGCATAGCAAATTATCATGCCATTGACTGCTATTAAGAACTCAGAGGTGGAGTCCCATGTAAAACTCCAGGTCCCACTCTGGTTCAAACCCCTCCCCCAAGAATGCTAATTATCATTTCAAGTGGTGTTCTGCCTGTGCCAGCTTGTCATCTAGTCATGTTTAATTCTTCCGTAGAACACCTGCAAGAAATTAGTCAAATGGACGATTAACACCCAGAACCTTGGGGCACACACTTAAAGCCAAAAATGTAGGCTAAAATCCACTACAGAAGTGAATTTTCTGGTGACCAGTGTCAGAACCACCGTGCTGGCAGGTCAATCCCATCTGATACACACCCCTTATTTCACAATTAGGTTAAACCCCTTTCGCAGGGCTCAAGGACAATGTCTAAGTAAGTGGTCCAGTTAGTTCACCAGCATTTACAGGCCAAAGTATGAGTAATGAGCTATTTTTTCCAGACAAAGGCTAAATAACATAGGGAGTAGTTTCATGTTCAGCTGGTGATGGGGTTATTATCAATTTAAAGTACAAGCCATCTTGTCACGATTACACAAATGTTTGTTGACTTCTGCCTGGCTAATTATCAGCAAAGTGGTTCTAAGTGCCACTTTCCTGATTAGGAGAATGTTTATTCGAGTTGATGGACTCAGCAGGGAGGTCTTTGAAATTACTTCTGAGTTTGCAGCCCGCTGACAGCCTGTGCGGCAGACGATGTCAGACACAGATTTAGGACCCATGACCAACTGGGCATAAGTGGAGGTGACAGGTAAACATAAGTGTGCATATAGATAATGTCAGGTCCAGGTCCCTGGCCATCTTGGCAGTCACAAGAGATTCTTAGTCCCTCAGCTAAACTCCTTGTGGTGAATGTGATTGAAAGAAGGAAACCACCAAGGGAGTGTAGACTGAACCATCAGAATACGCATAAGCTTGGAGTGTGACACAGCTTTGTGAGAACCCCTCAACAGAGTTAGGAGTCTTGGGGAGGATCTCAGTTCTGTAGCTATAATTTGCTTTGTTTAACCTTGAGCAAAATACCAAATCTCGATTACCCCTTGGTTTAAACAAGGATAATAATTACTGCCCTACCCCAGAAATTGGCAACTGCTAAAATGAGATCTGAAAGTACTTGAAAAGGTTTTTCTTAAAACTACTCTGAACTTGAATACAGTATCGTTATATGTAATTCACAGGTAAACAAGGGCAAAAAAAGGGTTGAAGTAATTTGACTGGAATCATAAGCGATGGAAGCCATCGATGTATTGCTCCAATTGCCAGGCTTTCTGCCACCTCCCCCATCCTCCCAGCACCTCTTCTTCCCACTTGTCAATCTACTGTCTCTAGTGGTACATTGCACACACCCCGCACATTCCTCGTTTGCCTGGATTGAGAGTTCATCCGACCTCCGACATCAGTTCTTGTGACTCCATGGCTGTGAGCACCACCAATAAGGCATGTTGGTGTCCACAGGTGCCTACGTTTTCTAACAGCTAACATGGAGTTTTTTACCTCTTGTAGATCCCAACTGTCGTGGGTGAGAGTCGTGCTCTGTGCTCTGTGGACAGTGCTACACGCAGCTGCTTCCAAGGGGTGAGTGTCGTGCAAACGTCGCAGGGAGCCGGGGCAACTGAAATCACAGAACCGTTACTCCACACAGCACTCAGACGGCCCTCCTGAGGAGGCAGACTTGCCTCTGACTTTTCACGCAATGAACTTTTTCAGCACAGCTCACAGAAACAGAGCTGGAAAAGGAGAGGAAAATATGTTTCATCTGTGCTAGAGACCGAAGTCATTTCTGGAAACACATCAAAGTGTGCCGTTGTTTTTCAGGTGCTGAGCCCAGCAATCAAAGAAGAGAAATTCCTGTCCTGGTTACAGTCCGAGCCTCCCATCCTCCTGTGGCTCCCGACCTGCTACCGATTGTCAGCCACTGAAATGGTCACTCATCCTGTGCGGTGTAGAATATGCAGGAACTTCCCAATCACGGGACAGAGGTACAGTCACTTGTCAGTGTTCCATGGACAGTCATTCTCCAAATGTAGCCATCTCTCCAGAGTCCTTTTGTGGTCCTCACACATCGGAAACTCAGTTGATTCTTGGTGGGGTCAATAATTTCCTGTATGAGGGATCCTAGTTAATAATAAGTATTTTATCTTCTATAATTAATGGAATAAAAAATTCTTCCTTTGATATATACTCTGACCAGTAGGCATTTTTATTCCTCTAAGGGAAAAAAGTTTCGGCCGTTGTTACCAAAATAATCCTTTTAAACACTTTGGAGACATCCATAATATAAACAATAAAATAGTAGGTTGCCTTTAATAAATGTTTTGTTTGTTTGGTTTTTTTTTATCCTCACCCGAGGACATTTTTCCATTTTTTATTCAGATAGAGCAGGAGGGAGAGAGAGGAAGAGAGAGAGAGAGAGAGAAACATCGACGTGAAGGGACACATCGAGTGGCTGCCACCCGCACGACCAACCAGGGCCGGGGACAAACTGCAACCGAAGTACGTGCCCTTAGCAGGAACCGAATCCGGGTCTCTCTGGACCACAGGCCGACGCTCCAACCGCTGAGCCAAACTGGCCAGGGCGCCTTTAATAAATGTTAAATAACTGTTAGGTTGTGTGGTTTATATGGGTTATTTCATCTACAACGTGTGATAACTCTATACAAGGCGGTATTATTATCCCTGATTTGCAGAGAAGCTAAATGACTCGCGTGGGGTCGGTCACAGGGCTCGCCCGTGGCAGAGGCGGCGGTCGGGTCCAGCGCCCTGCTTGGCAGTCGTGGTGCTGTGCTGCCCCCCTGCGCAGGCGCTGAGAACTCTGCGGACTCACCCGGCTCTTCTCCAGAGCAAAGGGCGTACGTGTTGGAAAGCTAGGTTTGGAGGCAGGACAGTCGGATCCTTGAGAATGAGTCAGATCTTTGAGAATGACAGCCAAAATCCCCTCTCAGGGGAAGGATGTTATAGGTCTCCCATAAATAAAACAACATGGAAGTGAAATCAGAGTTATTACTAAAATTTTGGGGAGGAGAGAAACCAACAGATCCAGGCCAGCCCCGGCAGACGCCCTTATCATGATGAGTGAGCACAGGTGTGGGGGCTGAAGCTAAGGAAGGACTGAAAAGCTGGGACAACCAGGTAGCTATGGGGGCAGAAAAATAATTTTCCTCCTACCCTTCTGAAGGCTTCTGGTTGGACTGATAATCAAATTAACATGAGACAGATTAACAGGAGAAAATGGCCAGATTTATTATATATGTACATATGGGGATTCCTTAAGAATGTGAGACCCAAAGACACATTGGGTAGTTGGGGCTTATATGCCATTCTAGACCAAGGAGAGGGAGGCAGGGGCGGGGATTTCAAGGGGAAAGTGGGCAATCACAGGCAGATGAGAAAGAGCAAACATGTGACAGACAAATGCTTGGCCACCCAGAAACAATGGGACACACAGGGGAACCTAACAGACAGACCTGCTCGGACTCTCCCTGTCCCACACTTAATTCCTATGTGCTCAGGTGATTATGGCTGAGGTTCCTTTCCTAAAGCAGGTTTTTCTGTCTGAAATCTTTTAGGCAGGCAAGGGGAGGAGGGAAAACCACAAACAAACCTCTTTTTGAGCTTTAATTGTTTTCAGCTCAAAGGAATCTACATGCCAGGTTGGCACATTCTAGGGAGACTTTCTGCACCCCTACATTGCTAAAAGTAAGTCGAAGGAGGAGGTGCCGCGAGGGTCAGGAGTGGGGAGGATTCGGGGCCTGGCTCCTGCCCTCTCTGTTTCTCATCTCCGAGCTTCTAGATTTTAACTAGCCCCAGATCTCAGACATGCTCCCCACAGATACAAAATAGGTCTGCTGGGCCCACAAAAACTGGAAATCAGGTTTTAATTTTGCTGAGAAAATAAATTGGGTTTGAAAAGAATTCTGAGGACACAGTGAAACTTCACTCATGAAACACCCAGCAAATAACTGAACTTTAAACAATAAAACATATAAATGAACAAGACTATTGAAAACCAAGCAAGCTCAACCAAAGAAATCTCCACACTACAATGAAAAATAAACTCTTTTTGTATGGGACAGTGGAGGAACACGAATATTATTTACCACATTCAATGTATGTTATAATCACTTAACCAATAAACAGATATTAACGAAGCAGTTACTGTGTCCTGCACTGGGCCAGGTACAGAATTCACTCTGCTGTTATATAAAACAGCTTTTGCATTGAAATTTTTTTTTTTTTTTCAAAATCCTTATGTGTGACTTATAGCAGATATTATTATTCCTGTTTTATAAAAGAGTTTCAGAGTGTGAATAACTTGCTCAAGTTACTGAAAAAACAGCAGAGGCAGACAGCAGTGCCACACTTCAGTTTTAGATTATGTTTCTCTCTATCGTGCATGAGGTAGCTGGGTGATCTGGGCAGGGCCTGTCACCTCTCTGGGCCTCCGTTTATTTGTTAGTGAAATAAATAGGGGTGGGTCAAATAATGTCCCAGGCATCTTCTAGCTGTCGCCTTCCGAATCTATTAGAAATTGCTTGCCTGCATTGCAAGCCTGACCTCCATCCTGTGCGTCTGGCTCTCGTAAACTCTAGCAATAGCCTCGAGGCTTTTCATTTTAGTGAGCTCAATAAAGCCATTTTAGAGAAGTGTTCTCAGATCTGGAGGTAGCAGGAAGAGGGCAAAGACTCTACCTTCTAAAGTAAGAGAAAGTACAAAGACCAAAGACTGTTTCTAAGCCAAGTGTTAGATTTTAGCAGCACTTGTCACATTTATGTTCTGTAATAGCCATTTAAGGTTGAGATGAGGTTGGGGAAAAAACTTGCTTCTCTGTTGGTAAAGGCATCAACCACAGACAGTCTCATTATCCACACTACCCCCTTGCTCATAAACCTGCAGGTAGTTTCAGAGCACAGAGGAACTGAAGCCAGGTTAGGGTCAACGTTCTGCCCTAGAGGAGTCAACCGCAACCTCCTGTGATACTGGGTAAAGCAGCCAGTACCAGTGGCTTAGCAAATAACCCTCATTAAAATATGTTCCTTTTGTTAGACATTTCATGTAAAAAGTGTAAGTCTTCCCAATTATGCATGTTGAATGACTTTCAAAGCCTTGTAAAAACTTTGCAAGGCTGAGACGGTAGGGTTGACCAGTCCCAGTTTCCGGGCGACGCCAGCCACACTTCCGTTTTCATTGGCAGGTACCGCTGTCTGAAGTGTCTCAACTTTGACATCTGCCAGGTGTGTTTCTTATCCGGTCTTCACAGCAAGTCCCACCAGAAGTCTCATCCTGTGGTTGAACAGTGTGTCCAGGTAACATCCAACCTATCGTACCAAACTGATCGTGGATCGTATCAGCACAAGCTACAGCGGTTTAAAATGTTCCCCCCAGGAAAACCGCAGAGGGCTCCTTTCACCTCATTAATATTTAAGTCTAAGGAAGTGGCAAATGAACCTTAAATGTCTCTCAATATAAATATGTTTTCTTTACATTGTAAATTTTAATAAAACTTTCTGGGGACAAGAAAGGGCCAAGCAGAGTCCTGTCTGAAGCCCATCCCAGCCTGGGTCCTGGTGAATGTCCGAGGTGTGAGAGGGCGAGCCATTGGAAATGGCTGTGGGTTATGAAGAAAGGGCTCTGGTTTGGTAAAGATGATGCAACGAGGCTTCTAGTTGTCAGTACGTTGGGGGAGTTTTCTTTTTTAACATATCGTTTCCTGAGCCCTAAACGTCAAGCATTTTTTTCTCTAGGAAAAATAAAAGAGAAAGATAGCTATCTCAGTTTTGAGTAGAAGATTATAAAACTAAGACTTTTTAAATAAAATATTAAATATCCAGCAAGAGAATTCAAATCTTTCTGAGAAGAGAGATGAGATAGTAAATTATAAAGAAAGAGTATTTACATTTTATTTTTGGGGGGAAGGACACTTTCTTCTTATCACAAAGTTTCTATGAATCAATTTCTCCATATAGATGACATCACCCTCTAATACCACAACATTGAAATATCTTGATTAGCTTTTCAGAGGGCAGTTTTCTCTTATTCTCCCCTTTAACAAGAATGGTCCACAAAGTCAAGTGCCTGGATCTTGCCAAATAATTCCCAGTGGGCATTGCTTTACTAAACTTTATTAACCCAAAGCCTCAGGTTCATTGGCCTGTGATCTTCCTCTTTCTAAAGCTGATGGGGGAACTAGGACTTATCAGTGTTACACTGACACCATGTGGTCACTTTGTTATTACACTTTAGATTTCAGGAGTTGAAATTTTTAATAACTCATTGCATTCCTTCTTTGCCTTTTTTTTTTTTTTTAAGAGATTCTTAATGTGGGGTTGATGGGTGGACTTTAGGTGGTCTGAGAATTTTTCTGGGGATAATGTCACGGGTGATGATCCTATTCTCAAAGGAATCCACAACCCACATATTAACCACAACCACAGACTTAGTCCTTCTTCATCCCCGCTTCTAGCTTTAAAATTCCACATTACTGCGTTGCTCTAAGGAAGAAGAGTTATTGTAAAAGTTGGGGGATATTTAATTTGGAAACTTATGCTATGTGTACATGTAGACATAGAAAACATAAAGAAATTCAAGTAGGAAGAAAGTAAAATGAAATTTTCTGCAATGTTGGCCATTCCAGCAGATGTCGGCGAAGGAGAATACAAAACTTCTCCTCGGGACTCTCAGAAACAACCTGCTCCAAGGATGCTATAGGAGGAAAGAAGCTGCGAGAAGGCAGTGGCTGCTGGATCAGGTGAATCCAAAGGCCATGGCTGACCGAGCACGGGCCAGGTGAGTGTCTGAGTGACAGGCCTGCAGAGTGTCAGCCCAGGGCCAGAGCAGCAGCTGTCATTATGCTGATGATCCTAAGGAAGGTAGGAGGAAGGGGAGGAGGTAAGATGCTTTCCCCTTCTAGAAATGACCTTTAATTTTAAAATAGGACAAGAGGTGCCCGGCTGGTGTGGCTCAGTGGCTGAGCATTGACCCATGCACCAAGAGGTCACCAGTTCCATTCCTAGTCAGGACACATGCCCAGGTTGTGGGCCAAATCCCCAGAGAGGGGCATGCAGGAGGCGGCCAATTAATGTTCTCTCTCATCGATGTTTCTCTCTCTCTCCCTCTCCCTTTCCCTTTCTCTAAAATCAATAAAGAAGATGAGAAAAAGTAAAACAAGAAGCAAACATACCTTCAAGTGGCCCATCCAATTATTTTGAGTTATGCCAACTAAACAGCATCAGACACAAAAGATTTTTAATATTAGAGTATTTGAATAACTTTGTTTTGTATACCTACTTTTTTTTTGTCGGTTTGCCTTTGAAAATGTAATTTAGAATTAATTTTTTTTTTTTTTTTAATAAGAAAAGACAGTTAGTATTCCATCACTCACAGATTAATGCTTTTCACATGTTAGTGTTCCAAAACAGGGGTTATGCTATAGATGCAATTTTTCATTCATCTTTTCACCTACATTAAATAAAGAGCATTTCCCACGTCATTAGTTTCCAAAATGTCATTTTCAATGGCCTCACTCTCGTCTTTATAAGGAAGTGCCATAATTCACAAGCAATCCCTTATATCACTAGAAATTTTAGTTATTTTCAAATTTTGTTCCCTAAATTTGGTTATCAATATATATATATCTATCTTCCCATATTTTTAACATTTTATTAAGATAAATTTACTCAAGTAAAATCTTGGGTCAAAATTTGTGAATTTTTTTTTTTTTTTTTTTTTTATCCTCACCCGAGGACATCCTTCCATTTCTTGTTCAGATAGAGCGGGAGGGAGAGGGGGAGAGAGAGAGAGAGAAACATTGATGTGAAGGGACACATCGAGTGGCTGCCACCCGCACGACCAACCAGGGCCGGGGACAAACTGCAACCGAGGTATGCGTCCCCAGCGGGAACCGAACCCGGTCTCTCAGTACCACAGGCCGACACTCCAACCGCTGCGCCAAACCGGCCAGGGCGTGAATTTTTTTAATTCTCAAAATTCGGAATGCCAAATTGTACTCCAGGGGTCATCCCAAAGCTCACGGCACCACCAGCAGTGTACGAGATCACCCATCACATGCCCAATCACCACCCTAAAGATGCCTTTACAAAGTCTTTGTGACCTTAATTTTTGAAGTAACCCTTTCTTCATAATTTAAAAATTCAGACGGTAAAGGGAAGAGGTACTATTTCCTACAGCTTATGATCATTGAACTTTTGGGAGGAAAAAACAGAATTGTTTATCTGCTCCTATTTTATCTACAGGGAGTATAAGAAAAGCTCATTTTAAATTGGTAATAATGTATTAATTTCTTTTGTAATCTTCTAATCTTTTCTCTGACATCCACCAGTACATTTCTATCTCAATCCCAGGCCCTATTTCTGTGGTTATTTTGTCACTTTGCAACTTGGTATAATTTAAAAATATATTTATAGCTCTTTAAATGAAAAAGTACGTATAGACTTCACAATGAGATGGCATTCATCATGTCTGTGTCACATTTGCTAGCAGGTTGATATTGATATGTCCTCCTAAAATTTGTGTGTCATCTGGATGTATATCTTTAATAGAGTACAAAGAATTTTAACTTTAAAGTAAAAGCAAAGATATCAGGTTCTAATTTATCTGTCTTCTTCAATCCATTTATTTCACCTTTCCCTAGAAGAGTAACAATAAAATGTCAAATAGCCATTCAGATTTATTGAATACTTGATATGTTGTCTAAATTCCTACATTCTCATAGTTAGAACACAAAGAACTGTATTCTTTTTTTTTTAACTCATCTTTATTGTTGAATGTATTACAGATGCCCTCCCCCTTTTTCTCCCATTGACTCCCTCCTCCCAATCCCGCCGCTCTCCTGCCTTCCCCATACTACTGTCGGTGCCCATTGGTTATACACACATGCATAGAAGTTCTTTGGTTTATCTAATCCCGCCCTCCCTCCCCCTTTCCCTTTGAGGTTCATTAGTCTAACAACCAATTTGTACTTCTTAATTCCTTCATCTTTTTCACCCATCCCCCAAGCCCCAGTCCATCTGGCAAGCAACAAAAAGTTCTCTGTATCTAGGAGTTTTCTATTCTGCTTGCTCATTTTGTTTGTAGATTCAGTTGTTGATAGATATGTATTAATTGCCATCTTATTGTTCACATTTTTGTTCTTCTCCTTCAAGAAGACCCTTCAACATTTCATATAATACTGGTTTGGTGGTGATGAACTCCTTTAGCTTTTTCTTGTCTGGGAAACTCTTGATATGTCCATCAATTCTAAATGATAGCTTTGCAGGATAGAGTAATCTTGGTTGTAGGTCGTTGCTTTTCATCACCTTGAATATCTCTTGCCACTCTTTTCTGGACTGCAAAGTTTCTTTTGAGAAATCTGCTGACAGTCTTATGGGAGCTCCTTTGTAGGTAACAAACTGCTTTTCTCTTGCTGCTTTTAAGATTCTCTCATTGTCTTTAACCTTTGGCATTTTGATGATGATGTGTCTTGGTGTGGACCTCTTTGGGTTCAACTTGTTTGGGACTCTCTGTGCTTCCTAGACTTGTATGTCTGTTTCCTTCACCAAGCTAAGGAACTTTTCTGTCATTATCGTTTCAACAGGTTTTCAGCCCTGGCCAGTTTGGCTCAGCAGTTGAAGCATTGGCCTGTTGACCAGAGAGTCCCAGGTTTGGTTCCCGCTAGGGGCACATACCAAAAACAAACAAACAAACAAACAAACAAACCAAAGGTTTTCAATTTCTTGGTCTCTCTCTCCTCCTTCTGGCACCCCTATGATGAGAATGTTGGCACGCTTTAAATTGTCCCAGTGGCTCTTTACACTATCCTCATTTTTTTGGATTCTTTTTCTTTTTGCTGTTCTGATTGGGTGTTTTTTACTTCCTTATATTCTAAATCGATGGTTTGCTTCTTGGATTTACCTACTCTACTATTGATTCCCTGTGAATTATTCTTTTTTTTTTTTTTATCCTCACTCAAGGACATTTTTTCCATTTTTTTGTTCAGGTAGAGAGGGAGGGAGAGAGAGAGGAAGAGAGAGAGAGAGAGAGAAACATCGATGTGAAAGGGACACATCGAGTGGCTGCCACCCGCACAACCAACCAGGGCCGGGGACAAACTGCAACCAAGGTACATGCCCTTAGCGGGAACCGAACCCGGGTCTCTCAGGACCGCAGGCCCCTGTGAATTATTCTTTGTTTCAGTTAGTTCATCCTTCATTTCTGACTGGTCCTTTTTTTTATATTGTTGATGTCTCACTAAATTCCTTGAAGGTCTTATCAAGTTCCTTGAGCAACCTTATAACCAGTGTTTTGAACTCCGCATCTGATTGATTGCTTATCTCCATTTTGTTTAATTCCTTTCTTGGAGTTTTGTTCTTTTCTTTCATTTGGAACATTTCTTTTTCTCCTCACTTTGGCTGCTTCCCTGTGATTGTTTCTATGAATTAGGTAGAGTTGCTGTCTCCTAGGCTTTGTAGGGTGGCCTATTGTTGTAGGTGTCCTGTAGGATCCAGTAACACAGCTTTCCTGATTACCCCAGCTGGGCACTCGAGGTGCACTCCTAGTGTGGACTGTACACGTTTCTGTTGCAATTGAGTCTTGATTGCTGTTGGCACGTCAGTGGGAGGGATGTATTCAGGCTGATCAGCTGCAAGGACTGACTGTGCCCACTGACCACTGGCTTCTGACTACCTTGGAGGATCAGCTGTGTAAGGGGCCCACCACACAGAGCAAGACTTACTTCATCAGGGCTCTTGTACCCACTGAGTCTGCTCATTGAGTGTGTCACTTGTGGAGGTGGTTGGGTGGTGGTGTTTCAATGTGGTCTGAAGCTGTCCACTGGGTGTGCTTATTCTGGGGCAAGGCCAACCACTGCCTGTGTTCTATCCAGGGCCACCTGGCATAAGCTACAAAGTGACTTGCAGAAGGCTGCTTCTTGCGCTGGGCTTGGAGGTGCCCAGGAAAAGCCAAGTTGTAAACCAAGGCTGGCTGCTCCTAGTGTCAGGCCTGGGGCCACTTAATGAGAGGTATGGGGCTTGCTGAGACCAGATGCTGCTTGTTCGAGAGATTTCAGGAAACTGAAGCAAGATCCAAGACAGGCCAGTCCTATGGTAAAGCCTTTGCAAACAGCTAGGGTGGGCCCAGAAATTGGGTGGGGCAGGGCCTCCAGGAATCACCAGGGTGGGGCAAACAGTGTGAGCCAGGTTTCTGGAGTCCCAGATTGGTGGCAATCTGCCTGTCTTGTGAGGGAAGGGCTCATCAAAGGAACATCAGCCTCTGCCAGCACATCTATCCAGGAGAAAGCCATCTCTCCAGCCCTTGTCCCGAGGCCAAAGAGCTCAGTTCTTCCCTGTATGTCTCTTGCACCCCTCAAACTGCCTTCCCTCCTAGTCTAGAGAGAGCAAATCTTAGTAAATCAGTGCACGGGCCCTATAAGAGGAACTTTCTGGGGTTCCAACAGCCTCCGCCTGCCTCAGTTCCCACTGGTTTTACAGCCAGAAGTGATGGGGACTTGTCTTCCTGACACTGGAACCCTGAGCAGGGCACCTGGTGTGAGATGGGGACCCCTCAGTCCTCAGGGAGGACCTTCCCAGCCGAGGTGTCCTGATTTTTATCTGCCACATGTGGGTGTGGGACCAGCCCGTCCACCTCCGCCCTCCTACCAGTCTCAATGTGGCTGCTACTTTAATTCTGTAGTTGTAGGACTTCCATTCAGCTCAATTTCAGGCGGTTCTGAATGATGGTTGTGTTGTAGTTCAGCTGTAATTTTGATGTGGTTGTGGGCGATACCACATTTA